AGGTTCAAGTTAGTATGAATTGTTTGAAAGAATCCATGATGCAACATAAAGAAGAAATGATGAAGAAATTGAGCATGGCCAACATAAAGGCTAAAGTAATGGCTATAAAGGATAAACTCATGACTGTCAAGAACAAATTAAAGGAAAAATTATACCATATTATGGCAATGATTAAAAAAATTACCAGCCAGCCTCTTGAACAAACATTACGAGAATTGAAATTGCAAATTAAAGAAATGATGGCTAAATTTCATCAATCCGCAACTCCAATAATTGAAAAGAAACTACGACAGATAGGATTAGGAAAGCTTATTGATGCATTATATAAGATTAAATCGAACTTCAAAGTAAGGACAATCATTTTGTTGTTAGCTGATGTAAGGACTCAGTTACGTATGAAAACTGAAATGATTTCCAAGCAATCGCCGGCCGAAACTGTCAAGAAAATTAAGGAAAAACTTCACTATGTATGGGCCAAAGTAACAAAAGTTATTTCACGCTATGTTGAATTAATCACCAATATGAAATGCGATGACATAAAGAAATTCTACGAACTTCATGCAGCAAATACCACCATCGGCCAGAAGATTAAGCTTTTTGTAGCTAAAACTAAGAAAATATCACGAGTAATCTACAAGGTCACCCACGCTAAGTTTGGAAAGGTTATGGAAAAGTTAAATTATATCAAGAATATGATCAAAGAGAAGGCTAAAATTTACTTGCCCAAACTTGCACAAATGGCCGATCAGAAACTACGTTATCTCATACAGAAAGTTATGCCTGGATTAGAATATCATTACGATCAACTCATTCAAAAGCTTGCTATCAAATCGAAGATGCTCAAAGACAAATTCTTCAAGACTATGTACAATATCAAATTGCACAGTGCCATGATGAAGGAATTCATGATTGCCTTACATGAGAAATTAGCCATAAAATTTTATCGTATGGTTAATTATACAGTGGTAGCTATGAAGAAAGCGAAACTGGAAATGAAAGAAATGTTACACTATCATAAGCTTCAAGCAAAAGAAAAATGCCGTATGATCAGGATGAAAGCTTTAAATTACGCTAATATATTTCTTGATGTTGACAAGTTACAGAAGAAAGCCGAAGAACATTGTAATTCCATGAAACAACAGTGGAATCTATTCTACAATAGGCCATTAGGTGCTACTTTTGTAGCTTTAAATGCTAAAAAGAATCAATTTTATCAATATGTATTAAATGAGATCGCTCCTGATTATCCAGAAGTTGCTTTCTTGTACACCATCGGTATGAGATATAAGCGAGGATTTAATAAAATCAGAGATGAGATTGTTGATAACCCGTACGGTAGTTATAACTATACTATCCGCTACTTTAAAGAGCACAATGTTAGCCAATTAATGCAAAAAGTCAAGGAAATTGGTCAAGGCTATATGACAACTATGACACAAATCAAGGCTGGCGTAAAAAGTATCTTAAGGAAATTGTATTACAGGCGTATCTTGCCGGGTATATTGAAATTAGTCAAGTATGATATACCAGACTATCTATATCAAGTTGCTGGAAAACTTAATCGTGAAGAAGAATACCAGGTATTAGTCGACTACCTTAATGTTACTATGGTACTGATCAAAACGGTAAAAAATCAACCATATCAAGAAACTATTGCACAATTGTATGATTATACAAGTGAATTAGTTGAATATAAATTAATGGCCTTGAAGGAATATTACTATGAAGATTATCTTCAATTAAATGAAATGTATCCAGGTTTAACACTATTCTTAATGGATCTTGAAGATAGTATGATGTTTGTGAAGAATTTTACCATCGAACTATATCATCAACCCAAACCAACAATCAAGGCTTTCTTTATGAATTTGATGGAAGAAGGAATGATGTCTACCAGTCAGAACGCTATAAAGCTTACTAAGGACTTCGTATTTTATAGCTATCATATTTCGAAATATATTATGGTACGAAAGTTTATCCCAAGCGCTATGGATATCATCTATTATCAAATTCCAGAATACACTTATGGCATGTTTAAAGGCACTTGCATGGAAGGACATTATAATATGACCATCAATCGTATCCTAAATGCTGCCGAACAAGTTATGATTCTATATGATCAACCATTGAATGTAACCATGGAACAATTACAAGATATTTTGTATGGCCTTCATGATAAAGCTATGAATAGTTTAATGGTTAAGAAGGCTGCTTTCGTGAATCGATTCCCAGAAATTAAGCCATTTATGGATATTATGGCCCAAAAATTAAGTAAAGCTTATCAGATGGCTATTATGCTTTACAAAAATCCGATTGAACAATCTAACAAAATCTGCCATTACTTTAAGACTACCCAATGTAATATGATTGCAACTGATGCCATGAATAAAACAGTTCAAGTAGCAAGGTTTACTAAACATCTTGTTAAAGCTATTACTAAAATTATCAAGACTATTATTCGTGAAGATGTTACTCCTGTGGTCTATAATACAGTAACTAAAACTATTCCTAATTATGCGCGTGGGCTCTTCCGTAATACTTCTTATGAAGGCAGCTTCAATAAGACTATTGCTCACTTGAACGATACCTTATTGGCATTGAAAGAATTATATGATACACGTATTTATGAGACCGTTCACGAAGCTATGAAATCAGCTGTTCAGAAGATGAAACAATGTCCCTATATGAGATATCACATCAACAAGTTAGAGCCAAAAATCAATCAAACCTATCAAACATTGGCCAAAATCTATCAAACGCCAATGAATCAAACTATTTACCATTTGTTACATACTGTTCAGAACAAATTGATCGTAACACGCGACATGGCTTACCAACGTTATCCTGAACTACAGGTCATTGTTGAGGATATCTTGAAGAAAATTAATCATATTAATTTTATCTTGAAATCGACCTATCAGCAACCACTCAATGAGACAGCCATGGATATATATGATTATGTTTCTAATCGAAGTATCAATAAAATGGCCTATGATATTATGTCACGTAGTATCGCATTGACTAAATTTACTCGAAATGTAGCGTCCAATTTGACTCAAGTAGCTAAAAGGATTGTTTTGAAAGAATTGATGCCAACTTTACATCAATTTATCACCAAACAATTACCTGAATATACCTTAAAAACCATGCCAATCTTGAAGAAGCCGATCAATATGACCGTTAAAGCTATCAATAAGGGTTTGAAATTATTCCGTATGGCAATGAATAATCCTCTCAATGTAACTATCAACAATGTCAAGAATTGCGTTATCTATTCTGTTGATCGTGCCATCAATAAGACCTATAACAAATGCTACGCTATCTACAATCAAGGAATCGAGAAAACATTCGATCAAATGAAAGAAAAAACTATCATCTACTATCAATTTATTAAGCCAACACTGCAACGATTATTATTCAATTATTACAACTTAACTGATACTTATGTACCCAAAGTACATTATATGTATCAAAAGGCAATGCATAAATATTTCATCATCAAGAAATTCTTGGCTAATATGACGAAGAAGGCCGGTCAATATTCACATTATATGAAGGAATATTGCATGAATTCGACCTACACTCAATACCTTATGGAACATTTGTATCAACCAATGTTTGAGAAGTATCAGTTCGATAAATTGCTACATCAGTTAGTCCAAAAAATGACAATGAAGTACAACAAATTTGCCAACATGACTCAATATTTCAAGGAACATTGCCCAGTAATTAAATCCCTTACCAAACTGTATAAAGAGCTTAGCAAATTTAATATGGATTCCATCGATTTAGATAGAATTCCGTACTATATTTCTAAGCTACAATTACCGGAATTTATACTTGGATTCAAATTGCCCAATACAACCAAAGATGTTGTAGATAAAATTATTGGTCATGTAAACAACAAAATCCCAAGATATGAAAGTAAGTTAATGATAATTCTTCCTACAAGTATTACCTAAGATAAACACTAAAGTAGTGTAAAATTTCTAACGATCTTTCTCTTGACTTCCTTAACTGTCTAGGAGTTGCAATGATCTATTCCGATACTACTATCATGACATTCGATAAGGAGCACATCACTATTCCAGCTTACAAGAGTAAGTCATGCAGTTACTTGTTATCACACGAATATGTCAACAATTCTTTCACAATTGTAAGCCGACAAGACTCTATCTTTGTGCGTGTACAAAATGGCGATAATATCGTTTTGGATAAGAATGGAATCGTGTATGTTAACGATAGAAGAGTTGAATTGCCACAACAGATGCAAGACTTCAATGCTACTCGTTTCGGTCCTTTCATTTATATCAATGCAGCAAGTGGATTGAAAATACGTTGCGACATGCATCATTACTTGTGCCTATTTACTGTGCCATCCTGGTATCATAATAGAGTAGCTGGCTTATTGGGTAATATGGATGGAGAGAAAAGTAATGATTGGCGTAATATGAAAAAGAAAATAGTACTCAATCCTACGGCTCTTGCTGATAATTGGGAAGTTAGTGGAAGTAGCAAATGCTTGCATACACCATTTGTTCAAGATACTAACTCAAATACTTTCGATACATCTTCAAATACCCAACAAGATGACATGATCATTTCTATCAAACCGAAGAAAATTGCTAATAATAAATGCGATAACTTGGAATACAACGATGATAACAGGCACTGCATGAAGTTTGATCGTCGCTATGAATCAGAATTTACTCAATGTTTCGATGTTGTAGACCCAGCAGACTTTAAAGATGTCTGCATGCATGAAATTTGCGGTAAGAAGTGCACTAATAGCCAATGTGGTTGCAATATCTTCGCAGCGTACCTCCAACGTTGTAAGAAAGCAGGTGTCAATATTTCTATGCCTGAAGAATGCTGTAAGTAATATGCTTCTTAACAAGACAGATATAGTATTAATTAATATTCTGTATTGCATAATTATGGTCGATTTTTTCCCAGTAGCAGACTTAACCGAGACATGTATTCAATCTTGATTATTTTAGCTCTTTGCGAAAACAAATTCAGCATCAACGATACCTGGAAGGCTGCTCCTAAAAAATTAGACTTGGTAATTGTTGTACATGAAGTACCAGAAATGAAAATGTACAAAATGTACATAGAAAAATTATTCAGAAGCTTGGAAATGTACATTTCCAAATATTACCATATTAAAGTACGTTTCGGTCTAATTGGCTTTGGTGGCGATTGTATTCATTCTGATGCTCACTTCCATACCTTAAATGGACAACTGAAAGGCCGATATATTGATTTAAGTAGTGGCTTACAACACTTAAACTTTACTAAGCGCACTAATGATGATGTCGTTAGCGCAGTCAAATTTGCTATGCAATTTCCATTCGAGTCGGATTATAAATCAATACTAGTATTGACTGATGCCGAACCTGCACAGTCTGCTGATATGACTGCTATGGCTAAAGAATTATTCTACAAGGGAGTTTTCTTGAATGTAATCAAACGCCCTCGCCAATCAATGGAACCCAGTATGGTGAACGAAGGAACAAGGGCTGATAATCTAGATATGTTCTTAACCGATGCTCATAGTAATATCGTTAAACGCGGCTATGTATGGAATGCTGACTTCATGACTTCACAATTTGCAACATTCTATAAGTCATTCTTAAAATATTTCGGCTTTGAACTTAAGCAATTACAAAAGAGTTGCTTTAATTGTCAGTGCCAAGTTGGCCCGGCACAATTAGGTCGAACATCGTGTCAGTTATGCTAAGTAGTGACCAGGTTAGTAGGTACTATTTGCATCATCATACTAAATAAATTATAATTATGAATACTTAATTGATATAACATATCTTGGCTTAGATAAACAATTTACAATCGATCCAGAGTTACAGTGCAGTAATTTGCTAATAGTAACTTCAGCGTATTCTTAATATTTTTTTAATTATTTTATATCAATTTCAATCTTGTAGGTGTCATGATAAATGGCAGCAAAAATTGATAAAGTCTCCATGGCAATATCTTAAAATATCATAAATGAATTAAAATTGATTTTTTATTCGTTTTATGAATAATTAGTTAACACATTAACGAATAAATCAACCATGCTGAATAATTTAATTTATCTCTGCCACTTTTATTACAACTAATACGTAATGATTTGATTATTCTTCTAAATCTTGTGTCGGAGATGAATATTTTTCCATGCAATAATGACATTTATTATTAATAAATAAATCTGGCATTAATATAGTAATTCGTAGGTCTTGTGTTTTGCTCTAATTTGGTCGATATTAAAGATTTGCACAGATGAGGCCATGAGGGATTTCGTTATTGCAACGGTTAATGAGGGAAGCATGCAAAACACAGTAAAAGGATAATTTAGCTGAGAATTATTAATATAAATTAATAATGTGGTATGGCAATGCTTTACGTTTGTCAGAACGATATAGACTTCATCATAGACCCTTTCATTTTACTGTGGTAGTGTACTATAAGTGCTATCTTTCATGCAGAATAAGTGTGCTATACAAGTGTACATGTATTTCATTAAAATATCTATATTATATGCTGTAAAATCAATGGCAATTCTTATCGTTAACGAAAGCTCTTTCATGGCTGATTGTACCTACATGCTAACCAGTCAGTAAGTTATAAAAGCAAACATCTAATAGGAAAAATGATTCGTACAGCACTCTGTTATATGACAAAGAATACTGTAAAGTACGTGCAAATTTTTATAGTTGCTAGAAAAAAATGCCTGGCTATTTTGACAATGTAGTGCAGCCCCAAATATAGCTTAGATTACTATTATAAGACTGTACGAGAATAACTTAATTTGTAAGCTATTGGTAGTTAGACGAACCTAACTTCTGTAATAGAGTGAAATTTGCAAGAAACTGTAGTTCTTGATTTATTGTTTTGAAGATCACTTTATCACAGATAAGTAACATTATACGCTTCATGGAGCATGACCAATGAAAAACTTAAATTTGGATGTTACAACGCACCGTATAAATCTTTAAATGTTTACGGTTAGGTCGTTACTTATCTTGCTACGTCTACTCAATAACTGATCCAATTATAAGTTAGCATCTTTAACATAATTATCATTATCATTAGTAGCTATTAAAAAATTATCTTCCCTTGGCGGACTATAATTAATTGATATGCGTACACAGCAGCCGTTCAAGATGATGACAGAACTTTTATTTTACCAATGGTACGCGAAGTATGAATTTAAGTTTTTTGATTTATAAATTTTACATATAGGCATACAATGAAGATTAAGATCCTAGCCAGTAATGCATTACATAGGCCTTTGCACCTGGAAGCGTTATACAGTTGAGAAATTAATTATCAAACATCTACAGTTTTGTTGCACATATTGAATTTATAAAAGTTACGGCCAATCAGATAAGTAGCCGAATAAATACATTTTAAGGCAGACAAATCTATATTACGATATGGGAATTTACGGGTATAATGATACATTTGCTACGGTTCTAAGTAGATTTCAGAAAAATTAAAATTGCAAATCGATAAAATATCTGATTAAATTCAGGCTTAAACGGGCCATAACTGATATTATGAAGTTCCATAAAAATCAACAACGAATGGGAAGAGATAGGACGAGTTAATACATAAAGATTTCTCCATTACTTCCAAGTCTATCCTAATTACTAGGACGAAGAGCATTATTACCTGATTATATTATCAAATCAACTTCAACAGAGTAAAAATACTAGTAAAAAATAAATTGATAATAATCTACTTTATTGTAATACTGATAATTTTAATATCGTCGTATGGTCTATCAGTTTTCGGATCGCATTTAACATTACTAATATTTTGAACAACTTCCATTCCTTTTACGACTCTACCAAAAATTGTATGCTTATTATCCAACCATGGCTATTGATTAACAAGATAAAACCAGGAAAGAAAAGTTAAATGATAAATAAGTCTGAATATAATTATCTAGTTTATTATTAATGATCAAATAGCGAAGTAAGGATTATTTACAAACCGTAGGAACGACCGTGATAAAAAATTGAGATCCATTGGTTCCTGGACCAGCATTAGCCATACTAACAGTATATGGACGATCATGACGTACACTGGAATGAAATTCATCTTCAAATTCTTTACCCCAAATTGACGTTCCGCCAGTACCAGTTCCTAATTTTTACGAAAGATAAAATATAGAACACCTTTTGTAACAGTACCGACAACTTCATATCTATCAATAAGCACTAATAAATTGTTGTAATTTAACCTAATGGATCTCCAGTTTGAATCATAAAGGCTTTAATGACCCGATGAAATATATGCCCGTTATAATAACCATTCTTTGAGTGAGTACAAAAGTTTTCTACAGCCTTTGGAGCTCTAAGAAAATTATTAAACAACAGAATTAAAGACTTTAACATTAGTGTTCGAGCAGAACCTCTTAGAAAAGTCATTCTTTATTTACACTTTAGGAAATAGTTCTATTTGAATATCTCCCATTGTAGTATGCATTACTGAAGAGTCGCCTAGCATAACATTGGATGAGTCCTGTAATTTCATAAAAATACTTCAAATATTACTAAGTTTTAACCTAAGCTTAAAATCACCATGCTAGAAATAGCGAACGAATCGTTCTAATCGAGTTTAAACTTTACCTTGACTGCTGCCAACTGTTCTTCACGTGATGGTTTTTCATTAAAAACGTCCCGATCAACTTCAGCTCTACGATAAATATATGAAATTGAAAGATGAATATGATAACTCTAAAATACACTTTCAACTAATTATTTATTAACTAATCACTATTTAACAGGGATAAATAATTATCCTTCTCAAACTCACCCTTTCGTATCATCTGGTTCTCTTGTCGAGAACATATAGAATCTATTCTTTTTCCAACCAGTGCTAACAATCATTGGATCTGAGGTTGTTTTTTGTGAACTCGAATTTGTACTAGCTTCAAGCTCCTGCATAGGAAATTTATTACTCAGTATTCGTATACATGTATAATGATCAACGAACGTTTATCATTCATAATACAAGATCTAAAGCACTCACTATTGATATACCAGACTGCTTAGGTTTACTTTGATATAAAGCAATGTTAAGAAATCGCACATTCTCAGCCTACAAGAAACCGGAAATGACAATCATATTAATAGAATGGCCAGAATTTACAAAACTGATCAATGCGAACTCTAAGTAACCAAGATTAAATTTACTAGTATTTGTTAGCTACCTTTCCAAGTGTTCTGATACAAGTATTTGTTTGTAAATTCATCACTTCAGTAGATAAAATATCATAACATTAACATCATTGCTTAGCTACCTACATAAGTAGACACCTCTGACCTTTAATTCCTAGCATGGTTGCGTATATTAGCATATGCCCACTATCATCAAAAACTGAATAAATAAATTGCATTAGCAATACATAGGCCTTCAAGCAGCGATAGTTTTAAAAACACTTACTTGCATTTACATGAGATAATCCATCTGCTTTCTCAATGTCACGTTCAACAGCAATGCGTCGATTAATTTCCATGTTGGGCAGCTGCGATCCAGTCTGAATGGAATAAAGAACGCAATTTTAATTGTGTCTGTAAAACTATCAAGCATAGTTAATAATGGCCACAACGCTAATTTTTAATTTCTTCAAACGAAAAAGGCTACCTTTAGACCTCTATCATATGAATCCACTTTTTCATTAAATATAACTTTCAATTTCCCACTCAGGAAGCGAAAAACTGAAATCTGTTAATGACGATAATAGGTACCGAGATGAAACTAGTAGAGATCTCGTAGGTTTCAAATAAAATCAGGTTTACCGTACGATCTTCAGCAACAATAGCTAGTAATTTTCCATTTGACGAGAATGAGATAGACATCGGTACCGTTTTATGCTAGATGGTAATCAAAGTTGTTATATTCAATTTATCATTTCACATCGACAATAAAATGTATCGTTTACGTTACCATAGCAAAGTGATACAAATCCGTATCAGTTTTGAATTCAAAGTCTAGAATTTCTGGAAATTTGAAATCATTGCTGGTGCCAGACCAATATTCTAACATACCCGCTTCATCTCCAGATATCACTACGTCGAATACGCTATTATACTGTTACAAGGTCAGACGATATTAGCCTATGATTTTGTGGAACATTATCGCTATTGCAGTTCAGGTTGTATTCATAATATAATAGCATATTGCATTTCAATTACTTACTCCAATAAAGGTAACTGGTTTAGAATGTAAGGTTATGGTTTGAATTGCTTCATTATTACCTCTACCATCATAGATGTAAATATTTCCATTGCTTCGTTCAGAACTGTACATATTTTAAATTGAGAATATAAGTTAGTTTTAGTAGATAAGTTACACTATACGAGTTTTACATAATACACTCATGAATAATCAGCTAAAAATATGATCAAATTCTGCTGTATAAATACACGTAAATTCTAATCGGTAGCTAGTGAAATTGTTCATTTTAGTTACCACGCAATTAGGGCAACCGCAGAATCTGATGTATGTATCCACTGACAGCAACCAGGTACATACGAAAGCTTTAGCATATTGATCATATCTACAATAAATTTATAATTGAATGAAAATGTTTAAGGCAACAGCTCATAATAAATATTTGCACGCAAAGCATAAATTTACAATACATGTATAATATATACGAAATTTTTTTATCGTATCCATCCTATCTAAATATATAATTAACCTCAACTTAGGATATTTTCGATAACGACTAGAATGCATAGTATAACGCTTGGCTGCATCAATACATTTGTCAACAGAGACCCAAAACGTACTGCAATCTCAATCTGTTATACTATTGTACTATATTTTACCAATGACGGTACAGTATTGATAGAATTTTTACCGTTACGATAATCTTGTAACTACAGATTCTGTCCAACATAAAACTGTAGTTTTAGCTTAACAGCAACAAAATTATTAGAAGTATACTTTTTACGTTTATAATAATTAAATAGCGTTGTACTGCTCAATATGAACAAACCGAAATTTATAACGTCGAAAATTTTTATAGATTTATCTGTCGAGGCAGAGGCAACTAAGAGTCCATCACAACTTGCAGCTATGTCAACAACGGTTTCTAAAGATTACATAAGGAAAAGTTAATCTTTCATTCTTACTGATATAATATTGGTTAACAATTATAATATTCATGTTTACTACTATTCCAACTGGCTCAATGAGCAACTTTTCCATCGCTATCAAATCAGTTACAATTGATCGAGGTCATATTCTTAACGAAGCTGCAAAATGACATTCTTGAATGCAGCTACATGCATAATTTAGTTATTGACCTCTATGAGCACGAAAATGTTTGACAAATTCAATTAGTTCATCACATTTTTTCCAGAATTTGATGTGGCCATCACAGCTGGATGTGACAACAAAGTCCGTCCTACGAATGGTAATGAATAATTATTCTTATTAAATGGGCAATCGTTGAGAATCGTTATGCACTACAATATAGTGCATAGAAACTTATTCTTGTATAGCTAAGAAATTCATACACTATTAGCTGGTCGTTACCTCGTTATCAAAACATTATTAATTACATCTCGATGCATTAAGCTCTTCTCGTACGATTCGGCAGAGGGTAAATTGGCCAAGTATAGATGCTCAAATTTCAAGACTGGAGATAGAATAAAAAGAAGTACAGCCTGTTATTGCACCCAAATCAAAAAAGGTAGTGTTCGTCTTTCAATGTAAAGAAAGTTTATAAATCCTTGAGATTGTGCAGAATACCAAACCTTTAACTCTTTTACTATTTGGTTTAGCAGCTAAACTAGGCATAGGGCCAATGACTTCATCGTCAGAATCTTCAGCTGTACGCTTTTCAGCTACGTTTGCCATGGCTTCTTCTTTCACGCTAATACGCGGAGAATGCTTCTAGTTTGTAAAGCGCGGTGAAATACGGTACGGTACGGCACTGCACAGTACAGAACAGTCATGGAAAATTCAGAATTTAGGTACTGTACCAGAGGCTGACATTAGTACAAATTACTACAGTATATTATTTGTAAATTACAGTACTGTACTGTACAGTACAGTACAGTGTCTTTGTGTGGTGACAGTGGTACAGTGAAAACCTGTAATTTGTACTGTAGTTGGCTGTGTTTTTACACACGAACGTACAGTACAGTACTGTACGCGTGATCCCATACATTCGATATTACAATTTTTGCATCAATTTCAATTTAATAAGAGACTTACAGAGACTTACTGTATGTGTATAGGAAGGTTCATAACGATTGGTCTTTCTTAAGCGTTTTACTTAAAGTTTTTAGTTTTTACCATTCAAACGTACAGTATCGAAGGAAACGGATTACAGTATATTGTACAGTACAGTACATAGTGTACTGTACACAAAAAATTTGTATTAGTACTGTACTGTACAGTATCGTACATTATTACATATTGTACCGTACAGTACACTAATGTACAGTGTACAGTACACTCGGCGTACAGTATAGCGTTGAGAACACAAACACTTACTGTACTGTATCTGTATACTGTATTATCAACCTTCACTGTTGTACTGTACGAAAAGAATAGTAATGTACGAGTAAAATAAATTGGTTTCAATTTAAGAGGATTTTTCATAACTATATCGGAGTAAAATCAAATGAGTGTAGAAATAAGTATAAACGTAGATATTTATTCAATTTGAAACATGAAATAGAATATAGTAAATAAAATGTCAAGAACAGCATAGTCAATTCAGGGATAAAGTACATGTATAAAAAAGGAGGGAATAAATGATCGATACATTTAATTGTTTATACGTATCTACGTTTACTTTAATCATGACAAGAATGCGTATTCTGTATAGCTGATGATTATCAGCTAGCCATTAATAAATAGATTGCCAGTATATCGTACACAATTGAAAGAAAGGCGTCATGTAACCTATATATAATAATGTAGACGATTTAATTGTAACCAAGATTTCCATTTTCAGTAATTATATTTCAAATAGATGAATACCATTTACGTTAGAATGGCTAATCTCATATGCAGTAGATTTTAAGGACAGAGATAAAAGATTACCACTGGTAATAATTTACAAGCACTAAAGAAAGGGCTATTAGTTTCTTTAATTAATTTGCTTTCGGTTTTCTTATCCGATTTTTCTTTCGAGAACGACCTATTTCGTCAATTAATCGTCCCTGTTGCCATGTAAGATCTGTACTTTTCTTAATTGTACTCAAATTCTCAACGTCATTTGGTGGCATTTCATGGGTAGTATGGTGAAATATTGGTGGATACCTACGATGTTTGTGTTCATCATACTGCTGCTGCCCCCTACTGTTAGACTCTTTCTGTATTGATTGATTCTGTTGATTACTTGTTGAAGGCTTACTATCCAGTTCAGTCTCGGTGTAAGATTCGACACTTCCATGAGCCTCCAATTTCTCTGGTATTGAGCTTTTACACTCATAATCACTCATGTTGTCATTCACAGTAGTTTCATTGGATGATACATTTGTAGGGCTTACAACATGATAATTTTTAAAATTGCTGTAGGGATTTAGCTGATACGCATTATTAGCATTCAAAGTATGCTGATGCATATTGAATGGAGCGTAAGGGTAATAAGGCATTTTAGATATTGTATTCATAACACCTCCATTGTTTAATAGAATTGGCATCTCCATATAAACTGGAATCTTAGGATTATGCTGCCATTGAACATTTGGCATTGCCACCGGGCCAGTCTGTACGTTCTGTTGCTGCCATAAGGAATTTGCCTGGGAAAATTTTGCATCTCCTTGCTTCGGCTTTCCATTCTCATTGATTTTCAGTACATTAAAAGCTTGTGCTAGCATTTTAGGTGAATTATCTCTATGCGCAGGAAGCCCCTGAGTCTGTTCTCTGAAATTACCTATATGTAATAATAGTAATACTTTTCAACGTCCTCCTACGTTAATTGGTAATATCTAACCACAAAAAAAATACGAGATGGGACCTTTAATCGATAGCAAACTTACGACTCTTAGGACAATCCTTCCTTCGATGTCCAATAAAGCCGCAATTGAAGCACCGATTTTGATCTGGAGATTTTTTACCATTGGTTAGCTTAGATAGATTAAGAAAATGATCCTGAACAGGGTTAAAGAAGAATATAGCGTCAACATCTTTATAAATAATTTACAACAGAACATTAGAATCTATACCATGAAGTGATGCTGTATAGGTTGCGGAGTTCCAAATATTGTTCGGCAATTGCGTAATACACTTTTGATATAAGAATTCACTATACCATACAGAAAGAGTATACGCATTATTATTCACTATTCTATAGTGATCCATGCGCTATTAGATACTAGTGATTATATTGCCAGATAATATAAATACGTGCATACTTTTCCGTTGTAGGCCTCTCCCAAGATTATGTTTTAAATCAAATGGATCTATTGGATGATTTTAAAGTCATCAAAATTGAAATTTCAACTTCATAGGTAAATATAAAAACTTTATCATACCTTCAATTGCTATAAATTTTGTGTACCATCCCTTATTCAATTTCGTCATCGGATCAAATTGTCGTATTGCTATGACGTCAGTAGTAAAATTAAAGGTTTCGGTGTAATACCGGTAAAATTTTAATAATAAAGAGCCAACACTTTCTTTATTCTTTCCAAAGCCCGACCATTTTCGCTGTAAATAAATATGAAACTATATAATAGCAGTCATTACCTAATGCTATCAAATATAAGCTGCTTATGTTCCCTTACGATTGTTTCGCGATCTTCTTGAAACCAAACATTCCAATTCTCTACCGTTTGCTCTGGTTTATCTCCATCATGTAACTAACATAATCTTATTGTTAATAAAAAGTAATTATATCTGTGATAGCTAAGTAGCATTTAAAGCACAGTACCTCCTGCAGTACAGGTAAAACTGGGGGATCACAATGTTGTAGAAAGTAAATCATCATCAACGTATGGGCATACGAACTCAAACTGCCTCTCGATGCATCTCCGATGTCGCAAGCCTTTGCAAATTAAACATAGGTAGTTATTTGCGACAACTAAGAATCTTTATATCTAAGAAAACTTTATATTAATTGTACCTTGGCTATTAATTTAAGAACTAAAACAAGAATTGGAATCCGATCATCAAGGCTACCATAACTTGCCAAAAGATTTGTGTTATGTACAGCCTACAAAAGTGATAATTATATAATAGGATTCCATTAGATTAAATCTTTCACAAGGAATAAATCAACTAATTGTGTATCAGTAATAAATACAAACCAAAGCATTTTGGTAACTAATATCACACGATAACTTCCTGTAGCGAAAAAAAACTCTATTAAAGTTTTAAAATACTAGTAACTTACCTATTAAGCGAACATGTAGGATTTACATACCGTCTTACATCATAAAATTTTACTATCGGAACTGTTGCACGAGATATATCTTGTACTTTTGCAAAATCTGGTTATGTTAATAAAAAACTTTAATAAAACAACAAAGGATAATATACTAAGTTCAAAATAAGTAACTAACCTCTAGACTTCTTACGTAACTGCTTCGCTATACGTCTAATAGCTTCTTGGCCACGTAATTTTTCCTAGCAATGTTTGTCACAAACATATAATTACGAAGCTGTTTCATTTACTCGTATAACGAAAATTGGTAATTACATACATCGAGACAGTTCAAGCTGTCGTCAGGTATCATCATACACATATCTACATCTGACTGTTTGGTTCCAAACCCATTTTTTGACGATCCAAACAGGTGCAATGTTGCCTCTTATTTAGTAAAGATACATATATCACTCGGTTACAAAAATTTCATTTGTGGTGCAAAATGGTAGATAAGATATAAGACCGCTCTATTTTCACCTGGAAAGATAGCTTGCATAGCTTTGGTTACGCGATGAAGAATTTCTTCTCGAAACTGTTTTTCCTCGGCTGACATCGCGTAATAATCTAAGAATAAAAGGAAAGAAAATAACTTTAGTGCTAAGATGACATACCATAAATAACGGCTTCAAATTATGCCAACTTAATTACTGTATTGCTTACCTTTTACGTAGTAACAAAATTCATCTATAGCCCTCAGATAATCAATATTCATTTCCGGTAAAGGATTTAAAGTACTAATACTTTCTGGACAATTCTATAAACAAAAATAAATCGTTTTGGTATAATTAATTCATAGGTTATATTTACCGTTTATTTATAACGATTATAAAGATATAGATGAATAACATTTCGAATATTACTGCCGAAGATAACATCTTAATTGTGGATAACAACTGGGTTTGATACTTTGATCTATAGCAATTAACATAATACGTGACTTATCATATTTAAAATATAGGATCGCCATATGAGTAAGATGTTTTAAGGTGTCAATTTATATTCACTCATTTAATTAATAATTCATTTGTGCAGTATTTTAAGAAGTCTTTGTCATCATTAATTACGAGTACATCAACATCAGAGCTCTTGAATAGATCACTGCTATAACTGAAGTTTACGTAACAAATCCAGAGATGATAAGTGGTTACTAATAATGTACTACCATTTTTTAATAAACATACTATACCAGGCATTGTGACGCATAGTCAGAAAAATACAACATTTGTTGACGAGAAATAATTTTATGTAAGTTAGGAGTCAATATCAACTTACCCAAGGGCTTACATAGACAAAATTGATTTACAAATAGTGGCTTCATTTTATCAACTAAAACTGTAACTTAACTAAACTATACATACGTCTTTTCGATGATTACCATCACAACTCGGACAGCGAAGGGGCATTTCCTGAAATGTACGTAGATAATTAGTCGATAGATAAAATGAAATCTTTAACAATATATTGTAATACTAGATACGAGTATATAGTACAAACATGTGTCCCTGAAACAAAGATCTTTTCTAATTGGAAGGTATCGGTAATTTTCGACGAGTCAGATAACCATTCGAACTGCTTCGGACATTCAATTACTAAAATAGTTATGTCACAGTTCAGTTGCATACCAGAAACAAAAATACAGTAACATTACGTATAAAACTCAACTCATATATTCAATAGATTGGAAGTACTTACGCTTATTAATTAGACCAGGTGGTATTCTTCCAAAATAAAATACAGTAAGAAGCAATCTATCTACTATAAATTTGCGAGCTAACATATAATTTATAAATATTAGTAAAACTTTTAACCAGATTTAATAAACGAGCAGTTTGCTAATAAATTAACTCACCTTGTCGTGTTGTAACGGTTTTACCACAATTATGGCGGTTTCCAAATGGACCTATTCATTAATAATTATTACTATATCATTACATCAGTAGATGGCTTACCTTTGTAATACTTTCAATTAAACAGTACATTCACAAGTATTTACAACTGCATCAGTGCTATATTTATTGCCAGTCTTGTTTGTCGCAAACACGATATAATAATTTTATCATACTGCATGTTGCAAATACAATCATGGTCATATTGGACATAAAATAGGTGTATCAACTGGTTTTATCGAAACTGAATCACTGACGTACTTTCGATAGCAAAACTGTTTGCTTCCCATTTTCTCATTCTTCGTGTAATTGTTGATTTTGAGGTTATACAGACAACGTTACGGCTAATCCCGTAGTCTAATGAATAAAATCTGGTTTGTGGCAAAGATGAAGGACTGATTAGTAACAAAATGTTACTTTATTACAGTACAATATTTACAAAGATCATATCTGTAAGCATTACTAACGTAAAAAACCCTAGCCAAAGTTGTCCAATACTCTTTTCATTGTCAGATTGCCATATATCATCCTAAATTAATAAAAAGATAAGATAATAAATAAAATCAGGTAGATTTTACGTGTGAAACTTTTTGTAGTAAGTAGTACACAGAGATTATCTTAATTGTAAGAAAATATCGTATCTTAAGTCGGTTAATACCTACCAATGTATCAATATCATTAAAGTAAATAAACGGAACACCATCTATTTCGTAATTAAAATTTTTTGATTGATCATCCGACGCAAGCTATATTTCAGATGACAGATTAGCAAAGAAAGAAATCGAAAACAGTATAATACCAGCCTATATGTATACTACTTTATTGACCTCATGTAAAACAGGCAATACTGGCGGAGTACAACGTTGAAGATAATAAATAAGCATTATGATAAGAGCACCAGGATGCAATCCACCTTCATTAGGCCTATCAATTCCACAAACCTGTAACAAGCAGAAGCGATGATAATGAGTTTATAACATACTTAACAAGTCATGTTCAAGGACACGTAGTACACCACTCACCCTTGCCCATTTTCTGAGTACCACTCCTAGTTGCCTAGTACGACTATCAATCTTACAGTACGTCGCTATCAAGGTATCCTGCATAGTAGACTTTATAAATAGTAACCAAATTTCAACATCCACGATTAATACTACGACAATGAAGCATACTATGAAAAATATAATATATTATATCCTCACTAATGATTTGCCGGTATCAATTATGATTCCAATTTTAGTCGCCTTATGAATAACATTGATAACTGGTCGATATTCTTCAACGTCAATAGTCAATCTCGTGTAAATATCTAACAAACATTATCATCATCATTTAGGCATTATATGTATTTGCGTTCAGTGAAGGATGTTCTATTCTTTTTATACTGAAGCAATATTGTCATTATTAAGTTAAATTATCTACGAATCAAATATGCGATATAAATACTTACCTGCATTATCTTCTAAGATTTTTTTAATTTCCACAATGAGACTATCACGATCGCAAAACTGTATTAAGAATAATAAGATTTATAATCAACAAATTATTACTTATGTTTGCAAGGCATACGATTAGCTTTGTAATCTTATAAAAGATATGTTGTCATCATGTAGTGTTATAGATAATTTCAATACAGTAACATTAACTAGCCTCTATCGAAGATGCCATAATATCTATTGAAGCTGTTTTAAATCCAATTCCAGTGTAAGAGGAGCCGTATGCAGTTAAGATACAGTCTATTGTTTCAAAAAAGTAAATTATGAAATATGTTTTCGATTATACTTTATATCTACAATAACGGTGTAAAAACTTGATTAACACTGTTCCTATTTCACGTCCACAGTATTAGTTTATTTACCGCTTATAACTTCAGTAACTATTTCTTGTAATTCAGTAACTATTTTCGCACGCTGTTTGAGGCTGAATGCAGATAGACCTGACTGTTCAGCTGTTACTTCGGTGAAAATATCCAGCTTTCGGTAATGTTCATCTGATATGTGTTTCACAAACCAGCGTATCTCATTCTGCAAATAGCCCTATTGAAATACAGGAATTTAAATTGTTAGCGCATTATTTCAGTTATAGACTACTACGTTGTGCTCTTAAAAAGAATAGAGGAATAACCATCTCTGAAATAAATTATTCGATATAAAATTTAAACTGACATTTCTTAATGCTTTAATCTTATTCCAACAATGCGTCTGGAAAGCTGATAAAGTGCAGTTTTCAAGAACTTGTTCGCAACGTAGGCATACAAGCTGACGTTGAGATTGATCCGTAGATTGTTTTCCATCCTCATCCTCCTGATCATTCATCTTAAAAAGATACAGTAATTTCATAATAATACTGTTAGCGCTGTTCAAACTTACTTTAATTAATAAAAATAGAAACAATGACAGTGTCAATAGATATAAAAAATATAGTTAATAAGACACGATAAATTTTATGGTAACCCTCTCTAGTCTAAAGTATAATATTAATCTCATTACAATAATGATGCAATTATCTAAGTTAAGAGTATGTATCGAACTTCAAAAATTAGCTACAAGCTGATATTTTGTTATCCCTAAGAATAAGACTAATCTAGTTTCCAGATTTACCATTACAAAGTCAAGAAAACTAATTAAGTAATTCATTCATGTTGGTAATGCGCATTAACAACAGTAAAAACGATTCCTTTAATCACTCTAAAATTAATTGCACCCATACCTTGGTGTCTACTATAGACGCAAGTTTATGATTTTCTAGGAGTCGCAGGTCTACCCATGTGGCGTCCGGAAATTGATCCTTCGATATTACTTTCACCAGTACCATCTGTTACAGTGGCAATTATAACAATATTGTATGTAATTCTTTATCTCGAAATTTGAATGAACAACCAGATAAAAAGTAGTTAAGAATATCTTTTAATAGTAACTTCCTAAAAATAAAAACGCACTCGATTAATTCTAATTAATCGAATGTGTTTTTATTTTTAGAAAACTACATACTTTACATGATACAGTCTATTTCAATCTTTTTTAAATTCCGACAATAATAATATATAACAGCACGTAACACCATGTTCTTCAAAGATATTAACTTGTCCTCCACTCTTTTCACTATAATTATGAAGAACGATGCCAACAAGTGGACAAGCGGACATACAACAATGATACATGTAGTTCAAGTACAATCAACTCTTATAGTACTGTATTAAGCCTTGGTAAAAATAATGCTGAGCTATATGACTAATGATATGCCTTGTGGACATACTGATACAGTACTATGTTTGGTGAGCTCAATGAACGGATAGAGTGTTTAGTCCGTTACCAGAAAGTATTTGCAATTCATTAGGCGATATTGTGTATCGTAGGCTTTGGGCTTTAATACTGTACAGATCAGCAAGGTAATAATCTTTGCCAATACAGTATATGAAATGCCTATATACACTAAAGCTAATGTAAAATAATGCGATTACTTGGCAGTTTACAGAATTCTAAAGATACGGAATAGAAATATAAAGTAGCAAGTAACGAATTACAATATTCGTATGTAAATTGCGATACGCGTACCGTAATTTATTACAAATAATTGTGCAATAATTATTACCGTAGATTTGTAAAGTAAACAGAAATCTTAATACCAATCAGAGTAGAGTAATGCGTTTACAAGTTTCAAAGATAGTCTGTATCCTTCCTTGCCTCTTGAGCGACAGATCGACTGCATGTTGGGACCTTTTTTAGTGTCAACAGTAATCAGAGATGCTCCTATAGTCATACTGCATTTTGCGTCTAGTACGAGTAAAGCAACGCAGATTCCGTAAATGACGATCAAGAACTGCTGTAAGCACGTAAGCATCCGTTCAGATAACCAAGATAAGATTTCTTTACTATTTTGTGCTATAGATTGGTTTATTCTACTGCTGGCGACGATTATCACTCAATCCATCACTAGTTACAATAATAAATGTGAGTGACCAAAGCGACCTGTGAGAGTGATACACAGGTCTCGATCGACTGAACAGCCATACCTGATCATGCAGTTTTATGCTATGAACCATATCAGATCTCCCGGATGACTCTACAACGTTGGTCGGTACATTTTCTATATCCTCCACTTTCGTCTCCATCTTAATGGTTAATTTCGGCTAGACTCGCTAGCATTCCAAAGCCAAGCGCCAAAAAACTAGCTACAAAGAATTCTTCCACCGGTGAAACAAGTCTCTGCCTACGGTAGATCACTTCCGTCAAAGTGTCGGACGTCAGCAAATGTTCTTTTTCATACAGTACAGTACTGTAGGAAATAGAAGCATTTGTACTGTACAATCATGGACTTGTTTTGAGGGGCAAGTGGGCCCCGGAAGTGTACTGTACGTACTGTACAGTACACTACAGGACTGTACAGTGCACGCCCAGTGTACAGTACAGTACTGTACTGTACAGTACAATACAAGGTGTAGAATTTCTTTTTAGATAAGTCAGTGAATATTTTTATGATTTATTTTCGAATAAAACCCATAAAACTGTATATCTTTTGATCATTTTATCTGTTTTTTTTAAATCTAGATCGAATTTCTACACCCTGTACAGTACGTACTGTACAGTACAATACAGTACGTACTGTACAGTACACTGTGTTTATTTTCGTTTCCAACTTTTGCATAGCAAAGTACAGTACTGTACTGCACATAGTAATTATTAGTACCATGTGTGCTTTGACTGATCTAGCTACATAATGGTATATAGTATACTAATTTTGCCTTAGTTTCAGTAGTATTTTTTCTCTTTTTCTGAGTCTGGAAAGAAAATAAACACTTCTTACAGTGTACAGTACAATATACTCATGCACTGTCTGTATTGTACAGTACTGTACGTACTGTACTCTATCTACAGTATGCCTCTATGGTCTTGTCTTCTCCAACAGTCAGTCATTCAGCCGCTGTACAGTGTACAGTACTAGTACAGTAGTACTGAAATCATCGACAGGTGTAATTGTACCCGTTTGAGTATGAAGTTCAGCGTACAGTATTTGTAAAATGCCTAGCCGGTTCGCAAAATGCCTATTCAGTTCTCAAACTACAAAGATATCAAAGCATGTAAATCTGTGAAACCATCTTTCTTTATAAATTAGAGAAACTATCTTTATTCATGCAGAAATATTTCTAAAAAAAACAGAGAATCTATATTTCTTTGATGATTACAATAATAATAATAGACTGATTCTAAAGTACAGTACAGTGTTTATACGTTAGAGTTTGAAGTTATGTTTTTCCCGTTTTTCTACGTCTAAAAACGATATAAACACAGTACGGTGTAAACAGTAGCACCTGAACTAAAACTGTATACAGTACCGTTTTGAGCTGCAGTATGAAATGTAAAATGCGTCCACTTTCGATAGCTTTCGATGGATACTGCACGGTAGCTTTGGTTAAAGTTATACAGCAGATACAGTCTGTCAGTGCAATACTGTTCTATAGGACATGATTTACACGTGGGAAAAATTCTTCCCCGATGACTCTCCCTAGTACGATGGCAATTACAGTATGAGGTCCCTCATTTTTCTTAGGAGTCCCTGACAGTATCATACCATATAAACTATTTTTTATTATTAACTGTAATTAGGTACGTTCATAACTTAAGTGCAATAAATAGATTGATTCGATAACACACGTCACTCAACAATAATTGTAATTTAAATTAAAATCAGTCACTTTTAAGTTTCAAAAATGACATTATGAATGAACCCCAGTTTTTAGTAAACTACAAGTATCATCATTAATTGTATAATATGAACTAATTACGATCTGTTTCCGGTGCAATCTTAGCTGCACAGATGCAAAATTAGGTCAAAAATTCTTATGTGGTACAGTATTACGCAGACTAGCCTTAACGTACGAAAAAATTAGCTACGATAAAAACAATTAAAATCAAATTTTACAAGTATCAATGATAGCATGCTACTCCGCATGTTTTATTTATGACCACTAGAAAATGTAACATGTACATATATGGAGAGATATATAATATATTATTATAATAGTAATCTTGACAGTAAACGTATATATCCTACATACGTGTATAAATACGCCATACATCATGTATACAGTAACATTAAATATATTTACATCAAGTAAAAGAATTAAAACAAAACAAACGAAATACTATTTCAATTTTAATCAAACAATACAAATAATTTAAATTAAGTTACGAAAGAATCTCATATACCAATTTATACATACGAATGGAGTAAATACTTATCACATAATAAACGAATGATTTCACTTGTTCTGAATAAAAGAATTTTTAGATACTTAAGACTTAAGCTCCAATTTAACTGGATCAATCACTATCTACGAAATACGTAGCAATGATAAACTCATTAACCTTTCATTAACTTTAAATTGATACAGTTGGCATGATAAAGTATGCAGCATAAAGCTATCGAAGTCGCATCTTACGCAATTTTAAATATTTTCCGGAATCGTCGCTAACGTAGACCACGGATTCAAATATCTAGTACATGCAAGTGCGCACAACATTTACAAGTTTTCATTATTTAAATTTCGTCTTAAAAAAAAACAAATTATTCCATCACAAGTAGTAGAAACGTAAGAAACTTGAACTAAAGCAGTTCAATTCCTATATGAAAATAATAGCAAACTGTCGACTGGTTACTGCTGATTCCAACACATGAAGAAATTAATATCCATAATATTAAATTTAATTTAAATCTCCTAAACGTAATGCTGCGCTCAATAGAGTCCAACTGCTTTACTCAATACTGCTAAACAAGACTGAGTCGTAGCTTTCAGATTTCAACTAAAATCAAATCATAAAATTAAAGGATTATGCTTAATTGTAAGTAGCAATTGTTTTCAATACTACTTATATGTTAAATTTATGTGGATATCATATAGTTACAATTATAGTGGCGGACACAAACTGTTAGACAAATATGATTATTTAGAATTTACTGTCTATTACAATTATTAATCATAAATTTCAAAAACTTTTCATTATGTTGTATTTCTTAGTTATTTCTATCGAGCATTACTTCAAGTAAATAGCGCCAATTCACCGTAATCTGATGGATGTCATAAAAATAGACTGTGATTAAATGTATCAATTATACAGCAGCATCAGTAAGTGGACGATAACTCAAATTTTCGTAAATGCAGATGCAGATGCAATTTAAACGATGTGATCTTGATTCAGATCTCCCAAACTCTACATTCACGTTACAAGTTATCCGAAGAGTCGTATAAATTAAGTGACATTTTGTAGCACTTTCCATAGTTACCAACTTCAGCAACTTTAGATCTTTATTTAGTGTGATACTTTAGAATTTTAAACAATTGCCTTTAGTGATCGTGATATCGCTCTTTCCGAGATCTTCCTCGAGCTTCACCGCATTTCAGGTAACATTAAAGCAGGATCAGATTATTCATACAAACACTACTTAATTACTGTATTGATCAATAGTTTCAGACTTACTGGCATAATTCCCTGCTAATCGTTCGTTGGAATTCTTCATGGTTACTCGCTGTGAAGGACTTTTCCCAATACTAGTATGATCTACGACATCCTCACTACTCGTACTTAATTGATCATCATCTACGTAACAAAAAACACAATTACTATAAGTTATTACCAATTTTACTTTTAGAGACTATGATTCCACAAAGCTAATTACGAGTAGTGTCTTAAACACTGCAAGCAAGCTAGGAAATATTCCTCACCATTATTTGTCGTAGGGTCTAAATCTTCATCACTAATATCGTCGTAAAGTAACTTTTTTACGAAATACGAAATAGTGCATTAAAAAAATTGCATCACTTCATTTAGATACCGTAAATCATCGGGAAGAAATGAGTTAAATACCTTACTACGCTTATCTTGCTTCGATGAACAACTAGCATTTGTATCGGTAACACCGTCTGTATCGTCATCACTTACATCACTAAATATATCGTTATTAGAAAAGGAAGGTCCACTAGGTTCTCGACGCTATAATCAAGAAAGTTAATACTCCGTTATTGCATATTACTTCTATTACGTAAACACACAGGACTAAATGACGAACAGTCTATATTATAACTGACATTCTTGACTGGGTCACTTTCTTTCATAGACATTGATCTATGGCAAAATTGAATAATTATCAAGGTACAACTCGATCAGATATAACAGTATTTGAATCAAGTGCATTATCATAGGGTATATGACGAAATTATATGCTGACCTGTCGTAGCTAACACTACTTCTAGAAGTGGTGATATCACTGCTACTTTGTAACTTTGCCATATTTTCACTATTATCTTCATCTGAAATATCTTCTTGGCCGTCAACGTATACTTTATTTTGCTGGTTCACCAAGTCATTGTTAAACTGTCGTTTATCATTTATACGATGTAAGGTCGTATCGGAAGATTTACTATTTGAAACTGTCACCTTAAAGTTTGCATCTTCACTGCAATTGTTAAACTCTATTTCCAAACCTTCTCCAGTCTGCTAACAAGCACATCGCAATGTTAAAGCTATATAACCGAAATCTTTAAACAGTAAATATCATAGCTATCATACCTCATAGAACGGTGCAACATTATCAGAACCTTGATTGATGCATAAAGCGCAGTAAAATAAAGTATTGGGATTAAAATTCGTATCAATTTTTGGCACAGACGACATGTTATAAGTATAAATTGATATGAAATGGGAATGAACTAACAGCAAATAGAAACTTAACTAAATCCGTAAGTATACTATCAACTTTGTAGGGGTGACATTATTTAAGTAGGTAAGTACAGTAGCAGTTATATATAAAATTAAGTAATAAATTATTTCGATTGTAATTTTACAGTATATAAACAACTGTTATTATGAGTTTACGATACCATAGAAATACATGTGACATTGTCACTGTAACATGAAAGTATAAACAAGGCTTACAGTAATTGCTTTACTATTTTGTATTGTAAGCAACAACAGTTAAGGACTTCAAAAATTTTCTAACGCGTGTGCAAATACCTTCGTCGGACAAATTTTCACTTAGGTCATCAAATTTATCAACATCTTGAATCTCGCTCAGTTCCTTAAGCTCATTATTAATTTCTTCTCGTCTTTTCAAAAGTCTTCTTTCGTCTTCTTTATCATAGTAATCACTATCACTTTCTCTCCTAATTCTCTTATTTTGCCTGGATGACGAATCTTGACTATTACTCCTTCTATATTCTGAATGCGTTTGCCTTGAATTACTTGATTCTTTTGACGTCCAAACATGCCTATCTGCATCAAATTTATCTATAGCATTTTAAAATTTTAAAAACTTTAACGCGAATCGACCAGAAGCTACACCAACAGAAACGGTCCACTATGCAACCGTTATCGCTAGATATATACTGAACAATATTACTCTGCCTTATAGCACACAGAAGAAATAAGATCATGTTCTCCTCGTACAAACTACAGTAATCTTTAAGACCAAATGAAAATTATATTTATAGAATTATTTTAGAGGCTACTACGGTATGAATTAGGGCAATATATGACCGAAGTAATGTTGATACCTTTCGATGAATCATCCCTATTTAAAATCAAAAGATACAGAATTATCTTCATAAATTCATGAAACATTACTGTATTATCAAGCAATTATATTAAATACATGTCAATAGCGATCTCTGCTTTACTACTAGTATAACGGCTATGAAGCAATTGCTATGCTATTTTGTTATATTGAGCCATCTGCATACAAATACCTGATAGAGATCAATTTACTTTATTTTGGTATGCAAATAAATATACCAAAAATACTGTACGTGTACATTAAAATTAAAATAAAATTGTATTACCTGACTTCATTCCTCTGATGGTTTTGTTTAAATTTTCCACGATGCATTTTGTCATGCAGAAATGGACAATTATGTCTTAAGTTACAGTGTCCAAGTTTAACCCAGTATCGACAGTGGCCCTATCAAAGAGAAATAAGACTTTCCTTATCTATTCGTAACGCTCAACATAGATAGAAATGATAAGTGCATGATTTCAAAGTAACCCTACAGTCCACTCATGACAGTGTAAAAGTAGGAATCATAACTGTGAATATTACAACGTATTCCTGAAATGGCATAGTTTAAAACGTGCGTTTATGATGCACAATTTGAAGCTTCATTATGGCCGGATGTACGTAATAATAAATATTAGTGGAGCAGACCCTATTTACAGCAAGTCATGTATCTTCTATACTATATGACACGCGTACTCGTATCTCCACTAGAGTATGCTAGGACAATATGCTGTGTTTACTTCACAAGCATATACACCTACTGTATTTCGTACCATATTTACATGAAGGCCAACTAAAAGTATACAGATACTACAGAAAGTACGTTTCGGTTATAAATTGAATGTAATAATAAGCATCCAGAATGCAGCGCTATTGCTTATATTTGGGTACATTCAGAATCTCTGCAGCAATCACTTACAGTATAACAGAGACATAATGAGAGTTATAGTAGTATTGTAAAAGAAGAGCGTCTGCTGCAGCCTTGCACACTCATTAATTAGCAAGTTGGAATTTATTTTAGCAAGTTATTATCCAACAAAACAGAGATAACGGCTAATTATTTGCTCGTTAACAGTAATCGTGATATTACAAGATATTGTAATACGTACAACTACTACACAGTATATCAGATAGGATTATGAATCTACAGAATAGGCTGACGCATGATACTTTAGATTGTACATTTTTAAAAAGTTAAAATCAGGATTGCCTCTGTATTACTGTACTTATTATATAGCAATGCCTTCACAGTTAATTCGATAGAATGTGTTATGAATTTCTATACTAATAGACAGTCGATATTATAACTTTGCTCCATCTGAATGTATCACTTTGGTGTCATAAACATATTCTCTGTGCTACTGTAATTATTAACTGGTACTATGATAAATTGTACTAGACTTAAATTATAATTATAAAACACGTATTCATGTAGCCAGTGATTAGTGACTACTGTACTGTAAGGTACATTAGTCAACGCCAGATTGGGTGGTCCCTAATTATATGATTGTGGTAAGATAAATGTAAAGTTTTTATCATTGCCACCCATAACCTGGTGTATAGGGTAGCCTGTAAAGTAACCAATATTTCGCTTTATGACGTAGAATACAACAGTAGATTGATGCTCTGATGGTGACATGATTAGCCAGATTGCATTTTCACATGATATTACGAAAGTAATGATAGAACGTTAACGATCCCATTTACTGGCTACTTTCAGCCATTACGGCTGGAATTTAAAGATTATTATACGGTATGTAAGTACGTATGAAAATAAAGCTGAAATTCTAATAATTATATATTTACAAACTATCGTCAAGAAACGCACATAAAGTAAGTTAAAAAATAATATCCCTATATAATATAATTCATTAATAAATGGAAACAAATTGTTTCGATATTTTTCAGTGTATAATCTCATCTCAGGAACAAGACATATCGTTTATAAATCTAAGGTATATCAAGCACCTACAGGCACCACCTTTTAGTGCCAAATTGTTCGATAACTTTATCATTTTGGTAAACATCAATAGAAATACAGTTTGTACGGATGAAATGAAGATATCGAAGTTTGCCAGTTGAATGTAGCAAAAGACTGTTACAGCACTATGTGGTTATATATACTGTACGTACTTCTAAATTTTTGTATGTTCCTAGGCGTAGAAAGACACTTTTTCTTTGAGGTTCACTATAATTTTCCTTAGGTTCGCTATGATTAATTGTCACTTTTCGCCCTGAAAGCTTCGACATTTTTGTCTATTGATCGAATCTTATGGCGATGTCGTCCTGGAGCTCTCAAATATATTCTCTACCTTTGCCACTTCAATACACATACTCACACCGACACTAGTCCTGTACCCAACTCTACTGTACGCTGTACAGTATGACTTTCTAGGCGAGTGAAGTCATGCTCGTCATACTTTGCGTGTATCTAAAATATGCAGTACAGTATGGTATGTGTCGTAATTTACGATACATACTGATGACTCCCCCCCATCCATGCTGCTCATCGTGTTATCGGTGTTCAGTCGCTATATAAAGTCACTGGGGACTTCGTAGTCAATACAGTACAGTACAGTACGGTACGCTAGGAAGACTTCTACGCTCATACTGTACTGTACTGTATAATTGGTGTATGATTATTAGTCCCTCGCTCATTGGATAAAAGAGGATTATAGAGGTGTTTATTCTGACCATTACAACTTAATAATAATTATTATGATGGAATAATGATGATCACAGGACTGTATTTCCATCTTATTTCTTGCTATAAACTACGCGATACATATTCTTCCTTCATTCCAATCCTTAGCAATCTGAAATCGAAATACCATTATACTGTACTGTACTGTATAGTACTAAAAATACAGCTCTACTGTATGTTGCTCCTAAACTGAAATTGCATTCGGTAGAGTTTAGCGCTGCTGTCAAGATTTGATTTGTAGATCACAATAGAAAGGTCTCAATGAATAAAACGTCATTAATAAATCTGTACTCAAGTCAACCTAATGAATTATAATATACTGTACTCTACAAGTAGTTTACAAAGTTATCCATGTTCTGTAAAATGCAGATTCTATTCTGTGCAGTGTTGAGCATTCCTTCATCTTTCTACGCATGTGTTACCTCGAGAGAGAAGTAAAAGCCGCAATATCACGTGATACCATATTGTACTGTACAGTGTACAGTACAGTGCTTTGAGTTTCATCTTTAAATACGAGGACGTCCAGTACGTGAATTATAAAAGTTGCAATATGAGTGCCTTAATAATACCAACATAGTAGACTATTTTACTTCTTAATACTACCGTACTTCCATTACTACTGTAATTAGCTGAAACTACTACACAACACAAAGCGGATAATTTCCTCTTTGATGATGGCTTTATTAGCTAAATAGGTGAAGTGTATCTTATAAACAGCGTGTCTCATTCTACCTATGCAATCTTGTTTGTCTTTAGTAAACTCCATATCGTGTGAGCTTACGTATTATAATTGACGAGGGACTTCATTTATTCGATAACGTCTTCAAATGCTGAAAACGTTGATTCCGATGGATAATTCATTTTGCAAATAAAAGTTAGAGAAAATTACTTCAGCACCCTCGCAAAGAATTGTTTCAAATTCCAAAGTAACCTTTAGATTATAAATCTATATTTATTAATTATTATTATACACGATTTTGTCGATCATAATTATAGTTTGTCAGGTAAAGTACTAGATAAATTGAAGAATATTCAAATTTCAAGTATAACGCACAATACAACTATCAGGACGTATATAACCCACATTGATGCAATACCTTTAATCATAAGCTGCAGCATTGAATGCCTTTTTATTAGATGGTGCAATGAAAACTTATTCCTAAGCTTTAATCAAAAATGTAGACGCTGATTTTTGCAAATGCTTTTTTCAATTGAAATAATAGCTAACTTTTATACAATTCAGAAAATTAATAAAATTTTTTATAGCTGTTTTTATAGCGTAACATTCGTCCTTAATCTAACTAATAAAAAGTAACATTATAGGATACTTGAATATCGCGTATTCAAATTCATGTATCCACATCTTCATTACATGTTGCTATTAAACAAATATTTTCTGGAGTTACGTTGTTATCAACAAATTCTATCAACCTCGTGTTATACCCGTGATTTCGCATATAAGCACTTCTACCTACATTTAAGAGTTGTTTACATAATTGACCAATTTCTTCTCTCTTTTGTCGAAAATCCTGATTAAGCCTGGTAAAAAAATGTTGCAAAATTTGATCATCGAGATTTCGGAACAATTAATGCATTAAGTACTGCAAAATCAAGACAAAGCTATAGTAAGAACATTTAGAACTAGTCCTAATGAGTACCTTGACTGAAACACAGCTGAACCCAAGTTTGATTCATTAGCACAAGAATCGCTGCCAATTTCTTTACCGTGCATAACTGAGGTGCTAGTTTCCGCAGATACGCCTTCAGACTGGCCCTTATGAAAACTACATGTCGCCCAACTCGATAAGCTACATATTACATTAAAATCTTCTTCATCAAATCCTAATTCTAGAAAATATTCCCTATTAACGTAGCTTTTCCAATCACATCGATGATGGCAACACAGAGCAAGAATCGCTCCACGAACGCTATTACGTGTTCTATGTAAAAATTGAAGGCTGCGAAATCAGTTTTAATTCACGTAAATTGTACCTTTTATTTTCGAACTTTTTACCTGCATTTACTATTTTGACTCTGAGTGTTCATCAGACACCGCAGACTTACATCTGTAATAAAGTTAACGGTTCAAATCATCGGATAGCAATAATATTTATTGTACTATTATAGATATTTCGATAGATTTCTAACTTAAGTGACTGAACGAATACAGTATCGTCAGCATATGACGTAAAAATTTTTAATCTGAGCTACTGCAATATATATTTATATCAATTTACCTGTAGCTGCTCCACATAAATGTTTACCAATGCCGATAACATCCCAATCGGCTTTAAACGAATATTTCGCTGATTATAAACGTATAGATTGTTATTAGTGCACTAAACTTTCGATTAACAATTCGGATAAACAATTTCTTTTAAGATATCTAAAATCAATGCTTTAGTAGCTTACATAGCTAACCCTCGAAAAGTTTCTTAAATTACTATACCTAAATTGAAATGTTCAATGTCCATTTTAACACGTTCGAATTTAGGTCCCATTTTATTGCTGGTGTGCATGCAGTCAAGCTGATTGCAAAGAAAATATTTTACAAGTAGGTGCACATTACTTCGGTTAAAGTTTTGTCAGCAGAAACTGTTATGAAATCAGATAACTATCGTGATTGCACATGTGTAAGCTAACCTTCCGTCGGTTATTTGCTCTGTCTATTAATACAAATTCGACCTTGTTATTATATTCGGATAACGCTCGAGCTACCCAGTGTGACAGTTTCCCTAAAACATGACAAAACATCGACTATAGATCAGTTCCTATGATACTTTCATAAATGCTTCAACTTTTAGGAAATACCATTAAAAGGAAACTTCTTTATTTTGAAATCATTATTAAATTACAAATTATATTATTTAGCAAAAGTAAATTATTCCTCATTTGGTACAGTACCTCTTCCAGCACCGAATTCTATGTAGCAAGCCTGGGATCTTAGTAATCCAAATTTCTCCATATTACCAATTATGGATGCCTGCTGCAGGTAATGTTTTATTGCGTTAGTAGCGTCAGGGTTACCATCTATTTCTTCTTTCAGTGAATGATGTTGTAAAATACTTCTTTCGCTCGAAAGAGATTGATCTAATTGAGAGTGAAATAATATCAACTTTACTCTGTTCAAAGGCCAACTAAAGGTTAATAACGAGAATAATCTTAGCATAAATCTAATTCATAACGCTAACATATTACCCTTTGAAAGTTTATACAGCTTATTTATAATATGAAGCACTTTCTCTTCTGGGATGTCAGATAATGGTCTCTGTTTAAGAAGAGTTAATTATTTAATTTATTGAGATTACCGATCGAATATATAGCATAAAATAATATCCCTTTTAAGGCATCACTTAGGCAAAGTACATAGAATAAGTATGCAAAAATATACTATCGAAAATAGGAATGCTTCCAATTTCAGTACTCAATCTCTTCGAGAATTCTAGATCGAATGATGGCTATACATCGCTCACCTTTGATATAGATTGGCTAATATGTCCGGAATTGACTTCCTTTTCGTAGTAGTCCTATAGTAATATGCAACATGTAGACGAATAACCGCGAAGTACTGAATTTATGTGGCAAGCGTTATCAGTATAAAGGTATAATTGTATAATATGCTCCATGCAAGTATTAAAATTTAATTTAATTTATTACAATAACCGTACATTTCTGCGAAGCATCGCGGGCGTGACATTATACCAGTAAGCATAATAAATCTTGAAGTTATTCATACGTATGTGTTATAATGCACTAGTAACGTCTAATTAGACGTATAATTACCGATAGGGTGGTATGTCTAGCATTGCAAAGTTTCAAGTGCTTCTCCAGTTTATCTTCGTATACAGTACTATGGACATAACAAGTAAGTTAACAATCAGCATAGCAAGTCGTACAAGTAGCATTCATAACACTGTAATTACTACGGTATTTGCAAACTAGAGAACATCGACGTCATACTGTAATATTAACGGACAGTGAATTTTGGCATATGATGTCACACTGTAGTCAATATACGAGTACTATATAATATTTGTCTACTTAGAGGTACATTTAGGGAGTTATGTAACATACTGTATAATAAAAACGAAATCAAAAGAGAAGAGATAAAAGGTTTACAGCCATGATTAAGATAATGTAAGAAGTTAAGAGTAAAGAGGTAACTCCTATAGCAGAGAGGTAGCAAATGTTGCTATTGCTTTCAATTCAATGATTAATTAAGCAATGTAATTTCAGTTTAATTTTCACTTACTGTTTGGAATCTAGTGGACATGGTATTCTCTTTCTCTCTTGCTTATTTATATTGCCGAGTTCGTTATAGGCCTAATTCAAGGTAAGAAAAAGAAATATTTAATTAGACAACTAATTAAGAATTTAAGATGTAAGTTCTAATTCACACTGGTGAATGATTCTATAGTATGTTAATTAATTACGTTCAATACAGGCTCAAGCAATATTGATGTAACATAATCAAAAATTAGCTTTTCCATTGCAGTTAGACACCAAATAAACATAGTCTACTCGTATATTAAGCTATTAAGCTATGAACTGTTAACTGTACCTCAGATGCATACAGCATGTGTTCACCACATAAGCGATCACCAACTTTAGGTATCATTCGGCAAAATCTCTTCTTTCGAGGTAAATAATACTCACAATGAGGTCGAGAATTGTTACTGTTGTCGGCCATATCTCTATACTTGGGGTGCAAGAGTTGATTCGTGAAATTTAAGTATTGATAATACGGACTTTACGGATTTATTCAAATTTACTTTTGATAATATATAATTTACTACTTGTTTTCTGCATATAACTGTTTTATTCATATAGTACTAAGAAGACTTGATCCAAATTAATTTCGTAGAAGATAAATATCGAATATCATTCTTTAATGAAAGTAGTGTCAAATTCGTGTTAATCAACACCTACACCTGAGCTCGAGATAACTTTATTGAGGCTTTACTAAGTTTCGATAGTAATTCTAATTCTAATTATTAATTATAATTAATTAATATACTTTATTATCACACATTCACACACACAACGCTCGTACACACTTGTACTACTATGCACTGTACAGTACGCTGTAGCAGTCACGCGTACAGTAATACTGTATACTGTACAGTATTAGCAATTTTTAGCCAATCAAATTGCCAGTTTGACACGATAAAGGTCTAGTCAATGGATGTCCACTGTCAGTCTCTCTGTCTCAGTTCCTACGGCTTTTAGTCCCTCCACTCCTAGGCTAGCTAGACCCTGTCAAAGGTTCGGTTCAGAAAGTCCATTTTGATTGATGCTGATACAAGAGGGACTCCTGAAAGAATTTCTCTTTCAGTGCTTCTCTTAGAAGCCCCTGGTTGTAGTCTAGAGTTGGGTGAGCTCTTATTCTTGTGCAGTCACCGATTAACTAATTAATAAATAAATATAACACTGCTGTTAACTATGGACAGTGCTGTACTCTGCTGTTATTAATACTGTACAATTCAGTCAGTCTCTCAAAAACTAATTTTATGATTGAAGTCTAGATTAGGACGGACCGACAACTGGTGTAGTGGAGGCAGTACTCTAAAAAGTAGTTTGTGTCCCTGCGTACTATACGGGTCGATCAGCATTCGCTTATATGCAATACGGTATGTACAAGCGTACGTGCTAGTACACTTCAAGGATTTCAGGTAGTGTAAATTAACGTTTGTCGTTCATCCCTTCTAACTTAAAAGTTGAAGACTTATCTATCTTATGTATGAATTAACAGAATTAATTGACAATGAAACGTGGCCGAGGTAGCGGAATCAAGAGCAATTTCGATAGGCAAGCTTTCAAAAATAAATTCAATCAAGGCAAGGACAACAGTATTGCAACTGGAGTTCCAAATGCTTTATTAAAGCAAGCAAGGAAAAGTGGAAGTTTGAATTTATCCAATAGATCATTAGCAGAAGTGCCAGATGATGTTTGGAGAATCAACCTGGATGCTAGTAAAAGCCAACAATCCTCATCGATGGACAATGACCAGGACCGTTGGTGGGATCAGGTTGAGTTATCTAAGCTAGATCTTTCTAGTAATCAATTAAAAGCCATCTCGGATGATGTCAAATTACTCAACGCCTTGGTAGCTTTAGATGTAAGTTGATAGCCATATGGCTTTATGTTATGATCCGAAAACGAGCAGTATACAAATAATTCGAGATAAGATTTCGGATCAAGTCAATTTCATGTAAGGTTAAAGTTTAAACTAGCCTGCAAGATTGCGTCTTCAGCGACATTGTATAGCGTCATCCATTCATACATTTGTGTAATGTGTGCGAAATGAACTGTTACTCCCCGCCTTCTTTTGATTCGAGCTTTATGGCATCTTTCTATCGACTGTCGAAGGAGAAGATCAAGGGGTGACAACTCATTTTGCACATTCTTACGGTTTGAAAACACTCACGCAATTATATACTGTTATACGAACGTTAGGGGCAAAATTCCATAGGGTATTGCAGTACTTATAATGCATATTATATATTATTAATTACACTCGACCATTAAATTAGATAAGAGACAACCAATTGGAAAATATACCTGAAAGTGTTCGAGAATTACAACAACTGAGTAAACTAGCGTTAAGGTAAGTAAGAGTGTATGCGCTATTGTTGTATGTTGTAATATTCCTCTATATACCTTTACCAACTTATATTTTTAGTCAGTTGATAATTATGAGAACTACATAATAGATTTTGCAAATAATTAATTAAGGTATTATGCAAAAAATAATTAATGATACATGTATTTATCATCGATCATTGCGTATACATCATGAATGCTTACTTATGGATTTAGCATGATTGCAACTTAAAAATATTATTATGAAATTCGCTAGCCCATCATACAGGTTGTTATCATTTGAAAGCGTTAAAATATAGCATTATTATTATATTTACGCAGTCGTAATGCATTAGTTGGATTACCTAATGCCACCTGCGATCTTATCAATTTGAAAAGTCTCATGTTGGAACACAACAAACTCACTGAATTACCATCAGAAATTGGTAATTTGTTACACCTTGAAATTTTGGTAAATACCTCCTAATGTTAATATGATGTGAACATGCAAGCTTATTATTTAATAGCTTTACATAGCATCCTAATAACTAACAATTTTCTATTTTAAGGCATTAATGTTAACTGTAAAAATGCTTGTGTCTAATTTAGGACATATCAAATAACCAGTTATCTGAACTGCCACATTCTATACAAAAGTTAGCATGTTTAAAATTTCTCAATATGTCTAATAATAAATTAGAAGTATTGCCCTCGGAAATAGCCTTCATGAAAGGTAGTGTCAATATTTATGTTATGTACAATTAGAAATAGTTCGTATTTTTAATTTTTCAATGAAATAAATCGCCTTATACTTTATAATAGGATTAAAAGACTTGAATATAAGTTCAAATAAGATCAAGGAGCTAAAAGTTGGTTAGTATGAAAGCAACAATGTCATATACCCTTTCACGTTTGATTTTTCCGTGCATAAATTATTATAGTTCGTTGTGTTTTAGCTAATAAATATAATTTTTAGTAAATATTTTTAAATTGCTCGTACATTTACTTATATTAGACTTTCAGCTTCTGAACAAATTAGAACGCTTAGACATACGCTGTAATCATATCGAAGAAGTACCCGTCTTTTCCACCGATAATACACTGAAAGAATTATACTTAGGCTCAAATCGTATCAAAAACCTTTTAGGATCGACACTACAAAAGCTTTCTGTAGTTGCGATAATGGATATGAGCGAAAATAAAATTGAATTGTGTGTAAAGCATTCCATATGATAAAATAATCAATAACTGCATATTTGTAATTCATGGGACACAGTTCGAAAAAAATAGGTGTAGCGTTTTTAAGTGTAATTGTTTGTACACATTTTTACGTACTGATCAAGATTTTATATATTTTGAAATTATATAGTGTTCCAGATGAAGTTGTAAACATGAAGCAATTAGAACGTTTCGATTTAACTAATAATGATATATCTGGGTATGTTCCCGAAATCGTACCAAGCCTATTCGTTATTCTATTCGTAAAAAAGTTATCTTTTTGATTATAGTTTGCCATGCAATATGGGTAATATGACACAACTGAAATCGCTTATATTGAACGGTAATCCTCTTAGAACCTTGCGTCGGGATATAGTACAGGTATTTCTCGCGCTATCATAGCCTATCATAACCTACTAGTTTATCAGGATCCATTCAAGTTTTATTTTTAATTATTGGTATCGGCACTATGCTTTGCGAACCACTAACAATATCATATTCAATAGCGTGGAACCGTTGCAATCTTGAAGTTTTTGCGCAGTAGAATTGCAGGTACAAGTACTCAAATTTTTATGGGCCTAATTATTATTAATCACCATATCTAGCCCTATACCTGTGTAACTAAAGTTCTCACATTTATAAGTTCCAGATCTGGCAAGTAGCGTAGACACAAATACGCAAGGCAATACTCGGATTAATGCTACTCATTCTTCTACTGGTTCTAACGTTGATGCCTCTGAAGTAGCTCGAACAGGAAAACTTGTTTATAAGTAATGATTGTTTACTAGATATTCTATAATAGCATATAAGACTTTGATAACGCTCATATTATTTTAATTATCAGCAGTAAGAAGACCTCCGAAATACCGGGTGATTTATGGTCGGTAGTGGCTGGTAGCGATCAAATTAGAGTTGTGGATTTTAGAAAAAATGTTTTAACAACAGTGCCTGAACCATTAATAGAATTTTCTTCAAGAATTGAGGAACTATACCTCTCGTCTAATAAATTATCTCAGCTACCATCCAGCATGGCCAATTTTACAAAGCTAACCTACCTAGACTTAGGGTAGATACGAATTCTAGAGAATGTATTATAAAGTACACTTTCCACATGACGATATGCATCATTGATGTATATTAAACATACAGTAGGATAAGTACAAGGTACCATTTGCTGACGTTTTCCGTTGTTGATATATTTACTAGCAATAATCAACTTGGTAATCTGCCCATTGAAATGGAATCAATGACAAAATTAAGAGAAATTATCCTGTCAAATAATCGGTGAGAATTGTCCTTCTCTTACGGTTTTAAATTATATTATTATATTAAATATGAAGTCTTTGTTAATTAGATAAGTTTACTTTTAGATTTGCAGCTATTCCCTCAGTTATATACACTCTCTCCAGTCTTGAAGTTCTTCTAGCGACTGACAATAAAGTAATAATTTTATTGTATCTACGTGTACATGATATCATTTTGTCTTGTAATTTTCTTTTTAAGCTAATGTTTATACCTTAAATACTCGTAATTAAGATTGAATCTATTGATGTAAGTGGACTAAAACAGCTCTCTGAGCTATCGGTGCTAGACCTTCAGAACAACGATATCAAAGAAGTACCTCCTGAGTTGGGTACGCTAAAGGCGTTGAAGTGAGTCTGTCTTCTTTTGTAATACTTTGAAGTTACTAAACAGTGTGATATCATAAACTGCACCTATTGTAGATTAATAGTTCTATTCCCTTACATAGATCTTTACAACTTGGTGGAAATCTATTCCGCATTCCGCGCGCAGCTATACTATCGAAAGGAACATTTGCTGTAATGGAATATCTCCGAGGTAGAATTCCTACATCTTAAATTAGACATAGTATATAGCTTTATACTTCGGTACTACTAGTTAACATAATTGTGATCTACTAACGTTATAACTTTCGATTACTTTCCTCATCTGTTGACTCAGTATATGCTTTAGATTCAATATTTCATTAATTTTAAAAATCCATACTACTAAGTAATTTGTTTGCAATGTTAAATATATATACTTTTGAATTTTGTTTACTATTGTTCGTTTGAGCCATTTTCTCATAGAGCATTTCACTGCAACACAATAGTTTATAAATTTATAACCATATCTGTGGCAAGCGTTACTGACCAAATTCGAAAAATTACCCAAATCCATTGGATATAGCTTGGATCTCTAGTTCTAGAGATCCATGGATATAGTAAAGTTTTCTTGCAAAATAATTCACTGATATGCATACAGCATGCGATATTTCAAATCCTACAGTGATTTAAAAAATATATTTTTATGCCTTACTATTAAAAGCAACATTTGATAGAATAATAAAAATTTTATTCCTAATTTTTACCATATGGCGTGATATATTCACATAGATGTATGCTATCTTGTTATCATTTTAACATATAGAACAACCAATAAGCTATGTAGATAATTTATAGTTTAAAATTTCTATAACTGATAATACCAATCACATATTGCCATGGAATCATCAATGGAGATAATGATAACATCTCTGCTGCTGATATATCAGCATTCAACATACAACGTTAATATCTCTGTTAACGGTCGACTGTAATCGTACCCATTAAGTACGCTTGTAGTATTAATATACACTAATAAAATTTTACGTTAATTGCTGGTTATTAAAAGACTTATAATGGTCTGACGCAGAAATATGATTATCAAATCGCTAAATTTAGATAACAAGAAGTCGAAAGATATTACATTCGAATAGAATAAGTAGTATATTGAGAATATATGGAACAAATTGTAATCAATCACCGATTTTTAACGGTAATATTTAAGAAATACGATCATTAAGAATCACACCGCGGTGGATCTACTCTTGGATAAAATCCTGAAATAATTTTTTATTACATGAATAAATTTGCACTTCCATGTAAAAGCTTCACCAAAGAATATGCTAACAAGGCAAATACTCAAAAAGACAGCGATCGATGCTACAAATGGAACAGCCTGTGAATTACGGGATGCTGGAGCTAATTTTATTTCAGTATTAGTAGAAACAATATCAGGAAGCGATCTAGTATTCAATTTCAGTGGTTCTGTTGTAGCGGCAGTAATTGACACTGTTAAATTTGCCGGTAGCCCAAGACCAGAGTAAGCGATGGGAAAAATCTATTAGCGATAATTTGATAGGTAATTTAAAATATTTTACGAACTTATTCTTCTAGGAAAGTAACTTATAATCGAGAATCATTATAGTCTAAGAATAACCATTAAAATAACGAACCTTAATAATAACATCAGAATCCTGTGGCAGATTTCCAATTGAGTAGAAATATTCATCCTAATGGTAGTTGTAACAATTTAAAATAATTTATTATTGATAATGTTCGAGCTATCTGCTGAAAATGACGATAAATTTGGTAGTTACGCCATCATTATAACCATAGAAATTACTTACATCATCATATATATGCCGACGAAGTGCAATATCATGACTTTCCACAAAAGCAGAATTATTATAGTAATTTTTGCTATGATAATTAGCATTCTTGGGTATAACAGTCCATCGTACGTGATAGGAATAAATATGAATTCGTTCAGAGTTCTCAGGAGCCATCCAAACTAACGATAAACTGTAATTGCCGTATCTCATAGGATAAATTGTGTTTGATAGAATTACAGGCGCGCTTGCTTTGACTTTGGTATGACAAAGATTGTGTAGGCGAATCTTTTCATGTGATTTGTTTGTACCTACTAACAAATTAATGTTAACAGATTTAGTAAAAAAATGATTAATGTCATAGATTGAATTGTTGACCTAGGAAATAATTCGAGTTTAATCAAAGGAATCAAGCATTGTATTTGCATAAACACTATTAAGTACATGCAAATTATCATAGTAGACTTTGATTGCATTCTAAATCGATTTACCATGAGGCCATATGAAGAAGCAAAATTTAGCCACTTTACTCTTAAATCGCTTACTTCCCCAAGCAGCAATACTTTGTATCTGGTTGCAAATGATAAATTCATGATATAAGTATCACTTGATTAGGTTAATCAATGACAAACATTGGAGTGTATATGAAGAGCCTATGTCTACTGCATCAACAATACATACTTTTGCTTGGCAAACTGAGCCTATTGGCAAATTTTTGAAAAGGGCAATATGAGGATCGGAAGACAATTTCTATAAGAAATAGACAATTATTACGCTTGTATGAAGATTTATTTAATAGCATTTACACAACACTGTTATTTTTAATATTTTCAGTTGAAAAATTTCTAATCCATTAAAAAAGCTTACGGCTTTGATTTTCTTTCTGTGTTCCTGGATAAGTAGTACTTTATTAACATCAATAATTCTTGGCATGCATCGAAGGCGCAGCCGATATGTAATAATTTGATAATCTGATGATCTAGGTCTGTGAAATGTAACTTCAACGTTGCTCAAAGTAGTATTGGCTTTCCTATATTGTCTTGCAGATATTTTCGTCGGTTTTTCTGGAGATTTACCAACTATTAAAAGAATGAAATTAACTTCCAATCAGAGATATGACAGTATATGCATGGACTAAAACTACCATAAGTTTACGATAAGTGTGTATCCAGTAAACAATTTGATTCTATGTTATTAGTAATGAACCTGCTCTGGTGATCATGGGTGTACTAATGGCTTCCCATATTTTGCTCTCTCTATTAGCTTCATAAATTGTTGCAGTGACTTTAAATTGGTACCAGATTCCAGGTCTGGCACCCTTTGCAGTCATCCACTTCGTTGTATTCTATGAAAGATCATAAATTTAAGACGCAAGACGTTTATTTTTCGTAATTTGCAGCTAAAAATTTTTGAGCTAGTCAAAAAACTCGTTACTCATATTTATAGCATATAACTACCGAACTACTTACTGTAGCTGTTTCTACCCACAGAGTAGCTTCATGTTCCTTAAATTCATGTCCAGAAACTTGACGAATATAAATATGATAAGTAAGGTTATCAAATTTCCATCGATTAGAGGAAGTTATAGTAGGCCCATTCCATGAAATATTGAATACACCAGTAGAAATTTCACGCACGATAACCCGTGGTTGATTTGCTGTAACACAATAATTTAAGTTTAAAATGAGTAAAATTAATCTGTCTAGCGGATCGAATACCATAGGTGTAAGGTAACCACATTTAAGTCAAAAATAGTCCATGAAGATCATGTATCAAGTATATATCACAAATTTGATGCATCTTGAACTAACCTGTGCGAATTTTAATAATACATTGCTTCAGGCAATATTTCTCGTCGTCTGCCTTTAAGCCCTAATGGTAATAATTAATTAGTAATCAGTTATACCATATGAATAAGCAAATCAAGGATAATAACGTAGCAAATACAATAAAAATAATAACTGATTAGGTCTATTTACACGTATCACTGATATTGTTATAGCTGTATAATTATATACAGTCCCTAGTGCTAGCAGTCCTGCTAATAAGCTTTTCATTGAAAGAACACCATTACGCAAAGTGAAGGTTAAAATTATAATTATTGGGCATAGACTATGGCAATGCTTTTATTATTGAATCATTATATTTTCCGCAGGAAAACTACTATTTACATCACATTAATTATAAAACCAACATGTAAATTGAAGACTGAAATCCTTTATAGCACAAAGGGATATTATCGCAGAAAAATTACGATCGCTACAGAAATTTAGTGTGATGCTATTAACATATATCAGTACGCGAAGTGAAGGTCAAAATTACTCTAGATAATACAAGGATAAGGTGTTTATTATAATTATTGGACAATCATAGTTTCTCCTCGGACAACGGTATTACAATCGGATAATTAAAATCATTGTCTCTCCAGAAAACCTAATGTTGTTCATTCCAGATATGTGATGTGAAGATTAAAATTATTCAATCTAAATTTAGGATACCATTCTTAAAACTGAATGATCACGAATAATTTCTCTAGAGAATCTAAGTTTTGGTGGCATAAACGGATATTAAATATCATTTTTCACCATAAGTCTTTGCTTCGATACTATTTTAATGCAAACAAATGCTATAGGGACAATTTAAATTTAATTTATAACCTTATTCACTCTTATCGCTAGTCTAACGAGCAATGTTATATTTTCTTTGTATAAATTACTATCATGTCAGACAGTATTTTTAGCTAAGCTTCTTTAACAAAATCGTCAACTAGAATTCTTGATAAAGTTAAGATTCTAATCTGAGTAACTCTGCTATATCTACTGTAGATAATTAATAATTTGTATCTTTCCTTTCTCACTAGATAACAAAATCATGGTCATACTTCATCTCAACACAAATATGTATTGTTGTCTCTCTTTTCTATCTTAGACTTAATCCCATCACGCTAGTAAACGTTCTTCCACATTAAGTTTTGTCTAAGCATAAAACAATCACCTTGGCAAAGTAAATATCTATCGTATACTCGTGTTGGTGAGAATTTTTAATGCGCTGTAATACAAAGTAAAGTGAAATTACACATTCTTTCCTCCAACTGGGTAACAAGACTACGTCAAAATAATCATTTCCCAAGAAAAGTAATATAAAAATAATATGTTCAACAGTCACTAAGGAGACATCATAATTCATAGATTCTTTTGACTCTAGCCTATGTCTACGTACTCCTGCCATGAATTGAATAGATTGAAAAAAGAAAGCAATCTTTTTGTTAAATTTGCATTGTCTGTAGGTGATTAAATGCCTCCTCATTTTATTCACTTATCAAAGAAATTCATAAATAAATTAAAGCCAATCGAATAGATTTCACTTAATACGTCGATACAATGTGGCATAACAAAATAAAATGCTTAAATCAAATGATTTTCTAACAAAATATCAATATTGAAGGATTTAAGTGATGCAGACTGCAACCTATTGTCAGAAAAAAAAATTACAGGAACGACCATATGAAGATTTCCATCTTTTCTGTATCAATATTTTAATATAGATAATTATTTATTTACTTTACACCACTATTCAAATTCCATAATGCACAGTATCATGGCTCAACTGCAATGCTGCTAAATGAACGATGATTGACGGCTAATTTATTCATTAGCCATTGCATCACTGCAACAAGGATGATGATTGTAATTGCTCGATATCGATTAAATATCTTTCTCATTAAGGATGACTTTAATTTCGCGAGAAAGTGAAATTGAATCAGACTGTAAAAAAACTTTAACGTACACTTTTTGTATAATAGAGTGCAATATTGGGGGTAATGATAGGAATAGCGATAAATTATTTATTACCCTAATACACTATACGCTTGTACTTTTCCACTGAATGGCGATATAATATCTACACCTTCCCATCAACTTGTACTAGAAGTTATCAATTTTATTCAATATCGTACCGCAGGTAACCCGATCAAGTAGTCTTACTAACTCAATGTTTGCCTAATCTCATTAATAGTAGCTTTCATTTTCTATAGGGCATAAATACTGTATATCAATCGAATCAACCTTAATGCTATTCTAAAGTATAACCATGAACTAGTTGAAAAATCTACAAATATTGTAGGCGTTTATAGGTACAGGAGAGAATTTATTTAGTTCTCTAATATTGTATATCTTCAGTTGTATCATCAATCTTTATGTGGCTTCATAATTTCTATGAAAAAATTAGAGCTAGTCTTTGTTGAATTTTTCATAAACTGAATAATTCTTTGCAATACTACTTTCCGTACTTATAACATGAAGTATAAATTGTCGATAAAATTATGCATACCGAGCGACATTTGCTACTAGTAGCTAGTTCTATAATCAATTGGTAGCTTATGTCACTATAAAATAATCAACAAACTCACCGATGCCTTACAAATCTTTTCGCAAACTTTTAATTTATCCAAATTGGCTACAGCAATCGTAGCAAAGTTGATTATTGCAAGTAAACCCAACAATGCCAGTGGTTTTACCACCATTCTGCTGATTGAATGATGATTGATCTGGTAAAGCAGCGGTTAAATTAAGGAAGCTGTCCTTACTTTATATAGTGAAAGCGATATTCAATAAATATAAAAAAATGCAATTGTGGAAAGCAAAAGAATCCACCACCACCAAGCAAGCAATGAGTACTAAGAAGTTATAAGACCACTGATATTATTCGACATAAGTCAAATTGTTCTTCTTCCTTTTTGTTTTGGAATTTTTTTTGCTTAGCCAGGAATTATTAAGCAGAAGATTAATTGATTCAAGGAGCAAAGATTTTGGTTGGATAAAACTTTCACCTTAAATTAATCCACTATACGAATATATTTTAATACAGATCTTTCCCAGTTGATATAATACTATGTAGATGATATTAATACTTCACCAACTTGAAGGACTTATGGAAAAAATGTTAATCTTATGTAATAGAGTAATGATTTACGAATAGCAATTGGATTAATATAGATTTCATTAAAGTTGACTACCCAACTAAGATCAAATGATTATGACAAATATTGAATGCAAGACTATCGTTTATACCCTGACTAGCGGTAGAAAATTGCATTCTCTACAGCCTATAACAAGGAGAATGTGTACGCGTGTGACATATATGTGAGAGAGAGAAAAAAATAAGAATGACATCAATGGAATTTTTGTTTGCTATATAATTTTCTCACTCATGCTCTTACTTCCTTTCACTCTCATCAGTCTCAATCAGTCTTCCCTCTAGTTATTGATTATCGACCATTTTTCAAATCTATACATTAATAACAAATTTCACTTGTCGTCTTTCAACAATCATTTGAAGAGTAATTCAATAATGACTATTTAATTAAGATAATACTGATTTTAGCCAATCAAATGTTAGGATAAGAATAGAACTGCAATAGAATAATTTGACAATCCAATCATATCGACCAGAAATTAAGCATATGCTAACAGCATTGATGCCGTTATCAAAAGCCTAGAATAAATAAGACAATTGATTAATTTTATTTTCATTGTTTATCAATCGATAAGGAATGAAATCAAATTTAATTTTTTGTTATATTGTCTATTGAGTAAAAAATTGAAACCTTATTAATACAAAAAGTGCAAGATCAGTCTTTAAATAAATGTCAGTACATTGAACTTTTTTAGCATAAAAAAATTTGGCAATAGATTCCTAATTTAAGACCACTGGTTCAATAAATGATGGTTTTGTACTGCTATTTTATTCTCCTTGAATTATTATGACGTTTGGATTAGATTATACTCTCTTCCTACATTTATCTTGCAAAAGTTACTGTCATGGCTTTACTACTTGTCTATCAAGATCAGACATGCCGCATACACTTTACTGTCTAGGTCGTCTACTGGAAGATAATGAGTATATTGAATCAAGATAATACCCCATTATTGACTGAACTTGATTGATTAAGTTTATGTAAACTAATACAATCATATGTTAAGATTGTATCGCAAGTGTTATCTCAACTTTCCATGTTCAACTACTCATGAGAATGAACAGCAGGTCATAAAAGTTACAAAGGTATGCGATCAAAATTACGTCAATGAAAATTTAATAAAGTTTAACAATGATGTCGCTAAAATTAAAAAAAAAATAAATTAACACGAAATCTGCCCAAAGATAAAAAATGCACTTCATTAAGACATTTAATTCATATTTAGTAAAAATTATCAATTTCCACATATCTTGATCGTAATAACCGTTAGGCTATAAAAGGCGATAATCTGTAAAGGTACCTTTTATTATTTATATACAATCACACATATAGGCATATTTTATACGTGTATATGCAAATAATTTTTTGGACATTGCAAAAGCCCCAAACTAATGACTAATTTTATTAAAATTGTATACCGACATTAAATAGTAGAATATTCAAGCATTTTTCTCTCTCCTATTAGCATCTGTTAAAAACTGTTAACATGCAATGCTTGGATATATTTGCTTAAGAAAACGTCACATTGGTCTTGCAATCAGCAATAATAAAAAGACTGATAAGGAATAGGTAAATTTTAAAAAAGAACATACATTTCCATTAAAATAACGTTATGAAAAAATAAAATATAAGCAGTTGATCGACAGCGTTGTAATGACAAAGGATAATTAGTGTGCAAAAGCATTATAAATAATAGAACCTTAACTATGCATTCTTATAATCTCATCAATGAGTTATAAATCCTAAATCCACTTATATAATTTTATCACCAATATGTCGATTGATTGTATATATACATATAATATATACATTATTTTCACATCGCCAGATTAAAACAATGGATAGTATATAATATGTACCGTTAAAATTATCAATTCAATAGGAAACATCGTTAAGGACTTTACAATAATTAAAAATAATGATAACAATATTACCATTTAGGGTGTGTGATTTCCTAATATTGTCGATACTTTTATTTCATTTAAAAGAAAGTCGTTCGAGATAATCCAACAAATTTTTATTTTTTAATACTTTTTCATTTTAAAACAACGTATCGTTAATCGTATATGGTACTCGCATTATATTATTCACAACATGTGCTAGAATTCCGAATGACTTTTCCGTACCGAATAACATGTTGCCTACTATTTTAACTCCTATTAAAATTCTATCACTTTAGCATTTTGTGTATAAACCTGAATTGAATGACGCTTCGATATTTAAGCTAATGTATTCACTAACGTAAAATTGCTTTAGAATTTCAGTAACCATCAGCACAAATATGTAGTAGCTTAATGATAAAAAGTAAATACTACTTAAGCATCCATGCTATGGTAAGAGTAATTTTGTAGATTGTACGTGTTAGTTAGATCAGGAAATGAGGAATTAAAGTCAAAATTAGCTTTAGCAAGCATAATTTTTATAGTTAATGACTCATGCTTTACAGTCGCAGGGAAATTTCGCTTCATATAATAACGGAAGAATTCATGAGTAAATAAAAATTTTGATTAAACTCGTCTATTTTTTTATTTTCGATATATAAAACTACGATTAAAATAGTTACACAATACAATAAGATAATTTTACTACAATTTTTGATGACTGCCACAATTCTAAATGAAACATCAATTTCTATTTCCTTCATTAAGTAGATTAGACTACCATCGATTACTATTTTATTTAGAACAAATAGTCTACTCATTTAAATTACTATTAAACTAGCAAGATACTAAAGGAAGTGGTAAGAATTCTTCTACTCTCTACGATAATAATAATGTGAGATTAGCTGATATATATTCCTTTACGAATCTACGGAAAGAGTATACAATTAAATTTGAGATCAAAATTTTATACACAATTACAAAAATAAATTATAGTAATCCAGCGCTGATGCAATATTTTCTTAGAAGACATTAATGTCAGTAAACAGCAGATCAAATAAGCGTAAAATGACAAAGTAAAACTCAATATTACCATTTTCATAGATTGTATTGTATTAATAACTATAACTGTTCACAAATATCAATATTTCTAAGATACTTATAATATTTTGAACTATTTCTTATTGTTAAGCCTATTTCTTCAGAAAATGATCTTTAAATGCCGAACCTGTCACTAAAAGTATAAAGGAAGGTATGCCATACTTCACACAGAACCTACGATATGGTTTAATAATCAAGATTATCCAATAAGACATACTAGTATTCCAAAGACGACGTCAGCGTAATAAAATTATATACTGTATACGTATATACGTGTTGCCATTATTTCTAATACCTAGATCTCCATGAGATATTCATTGAATACCACACAGATGTTGTATTAGGTATTGTCTTACAAACTGTAAACTGGTATCTCCTCATGCTATTGTCGTTACAAGATCTCTACCAATTCCGAAATGTAATGTACCTTTTGTCAGTCAATATTTCCTTAAGGGTTTGATGCAAATGAATTCGGTGTAACTGTGTGCTGTCTTTATCTTCGAAATATATCTACAAAAGTTAGATGAAAAGATTTCGGCCCAATTACGCTTGTACTGAATAACAGTTGCAGTTAATTTAATATCTATGTTGTAAGAGTTACAACTATACAAATATTCTTACTTCAAGGTTTTTTAGTTTATATTTATTTTCCTTATCCCATGGTGGGGCTTCATTGTCATCAAACATTACTATTAAGTGATCCATAAATCTAAGCCAAAAATACCCGTAAAGAACTAAGGTTCAATAAATCTCTTAAATTGTCTTCAAATGAAGATTTGTGCGATATTGTAAACACATTTATTAATGATCTTAATATGTCCCTGACTCTGTATCGTACTACAATTGATAGTAATTCTCGATAAATGTAATCTGTACAGTATATTACAGAAATATTAAGCAGAAAATTAGTACATCAAACATATCCACGTGAAGCAATCTCATAAATATGTGCGTAAGTTATTATTATTAAGATGAACTTCAGTTAGCAATTTTACCTATCGTTTTCGTTGGCAGATTTAATAAAATCTGTTTGGCCATGCTCAGGATAAATAAAAAGGATAGGCCAATGAATTACCATCTCTTCGTTTAGATAAACCATTGCAGAAGCGCCCATCGGATCAGGAGGGGTTAATAGGGCTTTAACGTCCTTTATCGACATAGTTTCTATATCAGAGTAAGACTTTAATCCATCAAGCGTTACCTCACGCTCCTACACGAATTGACCATTAAGATATGCCATTAATTTAAAAATACCCCCAATACACTATATCTCTTACAGCGATACTTAGTAAAGAAGTTGATAATACGATCGAGTAATGTAAAGATTAGACGCTGTTTTACGCACAGTGCGTACTCATAATATCATCGACATGTATCTTACGACATTTTTTCATAACATCACTGAAAAAAGCTAAAAGAAATAAATCAACCTTAAGGGCTTGCATTAAATTTCTAATGGACGTCTCTTCCTTCTTGGAAAGTAAATTTTCTTTCCGGTGATTTCTAGCATTAACTTTCTACGATCCAAAAGTATTTGCTTTTAAAATTACAAACGTCAATAAATCTTTCTTAGGCAAATACTATTTATAGTATTGTAAATAGGATAGAGTATTCCTTAAATCGACATCAGCAATGGCTATTGTTTCATTATGGAACACATATAATTATAAATAGACCTTAAGCTATTGCATGGTTTATCCATGTCATATCATATATGGGCATATAAAGCACACTATTCTAAACGTTACAAAATCGAATACGGGTTGCTATATTACCTGATTTTTGACGGCTTTAAGTTTTAATTCCTTTAATTTTTTATTATCTGATTCTATGTATTGATAGTTAAGCAACATAGACTGAATATCCATTCGTTTTATGATCATTCTACCAACCATAGTATCATTGTTAAAATTTAAGCAATTTTAGGATATATTTAAGCCATCTTCACACCACTTTAGTGCTTCATTATAAAGACGAAGTTCAAAACAAGCTGTTGCACCTGTAATTTAAAAGATGATCCTCTCAATCGTTGCTACGAATCGATTTTGATTATTAATTAATAAAGCAGTTACATAAGCGAAAAAGTGAAGTAATTTACTAACTTTCGAGTATAGAATCAAAGACAGGAATATTGTCGACAATCAATTTTATTCGTTTTATAGAATTCCTATAACGAAATTTACCTCTTATGAAAGCTTTAATATATGTCGGAGATAATTTCTTAGCTTCCGTAGCGTCATTTAAAGCCGATCTGTTATTACCTAATGCAGGAAAGCGAATCATTTTACTGATCAGGTAGCAAGAATTTTAGTATGGAAGTTTTAATATCAGAGTACATACTGATATCGAAAATATTTACACTAATCAAACTCGAAAACTATGTTTATTGTTACAGCAATGCAATTTTTAGGAAAGCAAACAAGTATTTAAATACATTTAATATAGCTAGATAGAAGATAAATTCTATCCGGCAATGTGAATACCAAACAAGACAGAATCAAAATTTAAAATATCTACATATCTGAAAGAGTAGATACCTAAATATGATTGTGCAGCTCCTCTATTATTGTATAATTGTGCATTTAAGTCATTATCGCCGCAATTCTGTTTGATTCCTTCAGTATAAGCAGCAATTGCTTGGTGATAGCGTTTACGTTTGAAGTGAAAATTTCCATCGTCTTTGTAGTTAACAGCTTTAACTATTTATAATTAAAAAATTAAGATTGCAAAATTAAAATAGTAAATCATCTCGTTATTTTATACAGTAGTTTCCACCGTAGGTAACATTTGTATTGATGTTTCAAAATGATTCCAACCCAGGAGGATATCACCTAGGTCATAGGAAAACACTGTATGTTCTAATTGATGACTAGTTATTCGACAGTATGAGGATAAACACCTTCAGGAGGATCTTCATCGTTTTCATATTTTAATGCTTGAAGCGCTGCCAACGCAGGAGAAGTTTCGGGATCAATTTCATCGGGTTGCTCAGTCATCAGCAATGGTACTTTTTGTAATTCCTAAATAATAAAGACCACTATAAGTAATCATTGATGGTAGAGCATAATTATTTCATTGCAGTCAATTCGCAGTTATCCAGCAATGACATGTCATTTTTAGCTATGAAACATACGAATTTTTGCTCACTGTGTGTAATATAATCAATGAAACAGTAAAGTGTAGCGTCAAAATTGAATGCACGACTGTGAATGGATAAGATGATTTGGATCATCATCGAATTCAAGCTACTTTATTACAAGATGTGGCATAGAGCATTATATGCACAAACTGCAGCCTAGAACTGCTCTAGTATTTTAGATTGAAACTACACCCTCGCAGATATTAGCACTGCTGTATCCAGCCACTATTGAGGCAAATTTTAGCTGTACCTTCATCCATTCTTCTTCATCATAATCCTGACTGGTGTTATCATTCTTGCTCTCGCTACTTGGAACTTCCTCAGACATACCTGGTACTACAAAATATCCCAAGTTTACCACAGTATAAGATTTAAAATATTAGCATTTGTCTGTTTTCGTTTGCAGAATGCTATCCCAGACCCAGACGTTGAGATTTGCAGATTGCAAAGCCGCCTGCTCGTCCTACAGTACAAACTACAGTACAGTACAGTCCAGTGCATTACAGTACTGTACTGTACTGTCACACTACTGGCTGTCACATACTGTACTGTACAGTACTACTGTAACAGTACAGTACTTGCTACCGTATAGTACAATACATTATACTGTACAGTATTGTACGGCACTGAGCAAAATATGAATGAGAAGTAATTTCGAAGAATGCTAATTTGCTACCATTGGATTCCATCAAGCTTTAGACATTACTTTAGACCTCCTCAATCACGATTAATACCATTTTGTTTCTGCAAAGCGAAATGATAGAGTCCTACCATGGTTACTGGTGAACTCTGTCTCGATTACTAGTACCGATTGTGGCTTAGTAGTAGCCACTGATTGCTCATTTTATACAGCTATCGCAATGTTAACGTCAGCAGTGGAATACACTTAGCATTATTTACATTTTCATTTAAAGGAACTGTTCCATCTCTCGATCTCTACCTTGACATATCACGTAAGCTAAAACCATAACTATTTACATTTTGCTAGTGGAACGGTGTCACACCATGTACTTCATTAAAATACAGTAGCTATAATGTAATAACTTGTACACAACCTTACCGACAATCTCATAAAGAGACATATTCATTAAGTTACTTTTCTTCCTGACGGAATTTGAAAGTGCGAGTAGATTAATTGATGCAGAAAGGTATATTTTGTAGTGGGACCAGACATTGCATACCTGTATAGTTTTCCATACCGATAACAATAACGGTAATTATGCGACTACAAGACAGGCATAGTAAGTATATGAATGTTGTGTGCTTTGTTGCCTCCAAATATCGCAGTAAATAGCAGGTAGCCGAATGTGCTCGAACGTATATAACGACAAGAAATCATCTATCAAGCAAAGTTTGATTAGTCGCAAACGATTTTACAAATGTAACATATACAGTCATGTCACCTATGATGCGTGTACTTGAAAATTTCTATCAGAAAGTTTTAGCTCGATATGCTCTAGTTTTTCTTTAACTGACAGCCGTAATTATTCCTATAAGTACGAGTGCGAGTATACCAACAGTTACTATAATGTTAATCCAATTTGATCTATAGTCAGTACACGTATATAAATCGGAATATAATTGTACAGTCTAACTTCTAGCATTGAATAATAACTTACAACGTCTTGTACATTTTATTATTCTTTTCAGGTAGAGATAACACAGGCCATTATGGATAACATTCAAGAATCACAAGAGAGCATAACCAATAGTGATACTTTACAGCAGCAATTGTTAGCAATCTTCAATAATCATACTCCGGAAGTAGTCAATAATCCTTGCAAAGTAGTTCCATCGACTTCAACCAAGGATCAGGTAGACAAGGAAGCTAAAGAAATAAAGTATTCTGATGAAAACGTCATTTTAGGTGATGATAAACTTCTAACTAAGCGGCCGAGAAAAGCGCATACCCCTGATGTGGTAAAGAGATTTGTAGATTCTAGTAATTTGTATATTGCTATTTGCATAATTGGATTGTTACTTATAGCCTACCAGTAATGGTACCAGGATAAAACTCATGAAAAATTAAAGTTAAAGATGCTACTGTGGAATAATTTAATAAATGTTCAATGAATGAGTATACTGTATATTCCTTTATAACCTTTATAACACATATACTAAATTGTAGGATGATGAAACACGTAAGAAGGCCAAGTTGTTAAATGTGCCTAAAAAGATATCATATCCAAGTATAGCTTGCTATGAGGTTCGTTAAAGTACTACTATTTTAATAGTCGTATACATGATTATCTTTCTTTACGGCATATCAGTGAGTATATGCTTGAACCAGCGACTATCAATTGTCATTCAATTATAATATGCAAAACTCTTACATATTGTGGCTATATGTAAAACAAGTTATACTTTTACTTATAAGGTCATCTTATCAGTAAATAGTAGTAAACTTACTACTTTTCTTCGGGACCTACACATTAATATAATATGCAGTCCCCTTTCTAATTATATGCTGTTGGCTTCTTCGTTTTAAGCGTTCTGAAAAGTCTTCTTTGTCAACGGATGAAGAGAATAAACATCGTCGTATTGCTCACGTTCCAAAAAAAGTAAGCAAAGATATTATCGTTATTATAAAGTATTAAAAATAAAAACATATTATAGCGCTTTGCATATATCAGACTACAGTACATGTAAAAATGGTGACCTATCAGTTATTGCAACTGTTTCGGATTAATATTTTTTCAGCATGTACTTTGGCTGCCCTTAATAAAAGAAGTAGCAAAATCAAACTATAAATGAATAGTATGCCGTATGCACTATTGTAGATATTTGCTGTTAATATACAGTTACTGCATATGATATAAAATTTAAGATGCAATACAGTAGTGACTAAGAATTCGTTCTATCAAGTCTTTAGTTCGATGTACTATAAACTCATGGTTAACAACTTACATTATTAAACCATGCCACTTTCTATTTGAAATAAGGCTTCAGTACTACCTCTGATAATCTACCTTTTATAATACAGTTAAATAAACCGATCATCATGCCAACCCCTGGATCAAAGATACCACTAGCCATAAGACAGAAATGTTTAGAGAGCTTAGTTGAAATATATATAAAAATTGAATCAAATAAAGAAGAAGCTTATGAACAAGTACGAATTACTCCATATTTTATTTAATTATAATAGCAAAATACTTCTTTGGATTTTTGTCTGGATGTAGTACTAACTTATCACAAAATGTAAATCTGTAGGGTAAATCTTACATTGCTATAACTTATTTTGTAGGCTCAAAAGGAAGAGAAAGATCTTAATAATGGATGCTCTAAGAAATCAACTTACCTAAATCGATTTGCTGTGGTAAAAAGTAAACTGCTTCGAGAGGGTAAAAGCGAACGAGGGGCTTCATCTTCCGCAAGGAGTGATCTTGCAGGTAATACGAGTATACAAATAGTTATCTATTCTAGTTAATGGTTAGCTAATAGAAATAATTATAATATAGTATAATCAAATTCGTTGTAAATTTGATCGGCTATTAAACGTTCACTAGAATTTTATGAAAGCTTAAAAGATTATATAGCAAGCATTGACAGTTTACGAGATAATTCGTACCCTTTACCAGTACCGGACAAACCTGGGGCTGCTGCTATACACAACGTAACACAAAAATACCCCTCGCCTGTAATCCAAAAAAATGGTGGTAAATATTTAAATTATATTGCAATATTTTATAAATGACTTCATTAATCAACTTCATGCGCGAATGTGTATCGTAAAATTTTGAAACTACCATTCAAGATCGATTATGCACATGTTGTCGTTGTGGAAAAGCGTTCTGTATTACGAAAGATGGCACACAAGTTGATGATGAATGCGTCTACCATTTCGGTAGAATTATTTCTAAGAAAGGTAAAATCCGGAGTCATTAATTTGATCAACTATTATACTAAGAATTGTGCTTTTTTTATAGTGTCTGGGGAGATTGTTAATATTTACAGCTGCTGTGATGGAGCAGTCGGAGGAGCCGGTTGTTCAATTTCTAAAGTAAGTTATAAGGTGTAAGGTATCCAATCATTTTATTACCGCTATATTACCAATATCTTTGATTATATGAATTCGTAGTCATTATAAGCCAATCTAAATCGTTTAGAGCCATGTACATCGATATAATGGAGATATGTCATCTGGATATGTTGCCACTATTTCTTCGGCAACAGCAGAAAATAATGTTTATGCCTTAGATTGTGAAATGGTAATAATTTCGGAAATAAATAGAAACTTTCGCCTTATTATTGTCGAGCATCTATTTATAGCACTAAATAAGAATTCATTGCATATTAAAGCAATAAAAATTATATGATACAGTGCTATACTGCTAATGGAATAGAACTATGTCGCGTAACTATGGTAGATCATAATGCTGAAGTCGTCTACGATAGTTTGGTAAGACCGTCATCTAGAATCATTGATTACAATACTAGGTAAGTAATATCTTTTGAATTTGCTTTTTACACGATTTTAAAAATATCCGTCCTGATTGGGCGTTTCTTAAACATTTTCTTTGGTGATTTAGATTGTTACGTATAGCCGCTTTGACATGCATTTAACTTATAACACTTAATATTTTCTTACAGATTTAGTGGTATTACGGAAAGTGATATGAACGGCATTAATGTTACATTACGCGATGCGCAAGCAATAATATTAAGTTACGTTTATGAGAATACGATAATTGTAGGTCATGGACTCGAAAATGATCTGATATCGTTAAAGGTAACATTTCATCTATAATCTGTTATTAGTATCTGTAGATATTGATTTGAATATACCTGTAGTGTAAAAAGATATATATAAAATGATACCCATGACCCTGATTTGAGATTTATTCTAATGCTGTACTCGCTTCTACTATAGTTAATACATAAGATGATTGTTGATACAGCCTTGGTATTCCCTCATCGACGTGGTTTACCTTATAAGCGATCTTTAAAAAATCTCGCGCGTGATTTCTTAAAGCGTATTATCCAAAATAGCGGTTAGAATTACAATACTTAAAAATAAATTTATTTGTATTTTTGAATTAACCAATCCATGACCGCGCGATTATTAGTTTAATGCTCATAAGAAACATTTTCAGGTATTAATTTGGCCTGCTTTACAAACTCATCTTAGGTGATGATGGTCATGACAGTAAAGAAGACGCTGTAACTTGTATTGATTTAATGAAATGGAAGTTAAAAAATGGGAAAAGGTCACGTTCTTCGTCCATAAAGCATGTGTGCCTTCAAAAGCCCCGCTGTTAAATTTTTTAAGAAAGCAAATAAATATATGGATTATAATAAAGCATCCAAATAATTTTACCGCCGCTGCCATCAATTTATATTTCTATAATAGCAAAATTGCCATACGCCTATATTGGCATAGCATAGGTGTGACTACAATATAAGTGCGCGTATGTAGGCTAAATTAATAGTTGTTATACTGTATCTGTCGCTTATTAATTTGTTTTAGCATTTATAAGCTTATAACATATTCTAGATAAATCTTATAACTGTCCCATACATCTATAATTGCTTTACCATCTTCAAGAATCTAAATACTCAGGATCTATAGATTTTGTACTGTCTATAGTTTGTACTTATATATGATACTGTATCCACGTCCATCCGTATCTATCGGTCGTATTAATCGTTCATCATACGCATTACTTGGGAATCTTGGAATTTGTACCATTTAATGGTCAACTTAATGAATATCGGTGTTCTTCCTATCTAGGTAACAAACAAATTATTGCAATGAAGATATATAGTACAATCTTTGCTTTAGCTGTACTGTATCACAAAACATTTTTACTCACTACTAGTTATCTATTAATGTCACAAGGAACTGTATTATTGAAAAGCGATGATGTAAATATTTTAAAATTTTACTGTAATTAAATCCACACTGTACGGCATAAAGAAAAAAGTTTTTCATTAATCTCTATGCTGTACATTATACAAGCATGCCTTGTTAAATCTGAGCTGACTTCATTTGGTTTACTCCAATGTCTCACGATCCCATTTCAATTTATGGCACTGTATAGCTTACACGTGCAGAGACAAATGTTGAAATGCGAATGCAGGATTTTATAGACTCTTTCAAAGATTGCATTACATGAAAAGAAAAGAGTATTTACAGCCATTTAGGTTTTCTTCATCTCTAAAGGTTTAGAGTACTGTAAGCAGCATTTCATCTCACTTAAAATATTAAATAACTGTTAATTAATGTTACTTTAATTTTATTTTACGTTATTGATTTCATTTCTTTATTGATTCTGTTCTGTCTGTCTGAATGACTGCCAATTGCACAGGCGCACTCATAGATACTTGCGACAGTACACTACGGAGATACAGCATGGAGTTTCAGTTTGTGCCGTCTGTACGTCTGTACCGATAGCTGTGCAAAATGAGTTGTCATATCGTTCGATACCATAGGACTGGTTTTACCGTATGAATCCATCTGTGCATAAGAAGGAAAGGTCAATGAGGTGACAATCTATTTTGCGCAGTATAAATTCGTATGTCTAGCAATTTAGTCCATGGTCCAAGTACTGTATGAGTACTGTACACAGGCCAGAAGCCACGACGATAGACCTTATTCTCGCTCTCCTCTGTACCGAGGCAGACTGCAGCTGTTGCAGAGGTTGAGAGCTTGTCCCTTCCAGCCTTCCTAATCTTCATCATGGCTGCATATCGTCACTTTATTCCTCTCAGTTATCGGCTACGGCCTCGGTTAACTCCTTATTCTAGTATCAATACACTCATTTATAATAGGTATGAACTCAATTAAGTTGCTATATCATTTTTTATCTTAATTCTGTAGCTAGTGAAGAAGTAGGCGATGGTTGAACTGTGGTTATCACAAGTTTGACTAAAGCTTGTGCAATATACCGTCTAACCTACAGTAGACATCCGTAAATGTGCAACATTTATCAACTAAGCATTGAATTACAGTAAACGTGAGAGAGAGAGTAAGATGTTGTTAGATTATGATGTGCATATTTCGTTCGTATTATACTTTTAGTATAGTTTACAGTTCATTTCATTTTCAACAACTTGTTAAATGCTGTTATCTTTTACAGTGCAGTACAGGACTCGTATATATGATTACGGACTTTGAAAGTGAAATACTGTATGATAGCGGAATTGTGCTGGAGTGCTTAAAGTATAATGTTAATCATATGAATAGATTTTATTGCTCTACGTAAGTGTTTAGTGAGCTGAAAGGACTAAACAAAGTTTATTTTCTTTCCCTTTAGCAAATAGTCGTTCTTAAACTTAATTCGGACTTTAGCTTGCTAATACTATATATAGCAAATGCTTCATTAGAGATACATCGTTGTTGGTATAATACTTAAACGAACAGTTAATAGCGATTTAAGTGTGATAACAATTGGAAAATTCGATGTATAAAAGTAGACTCTTTTAATCTACAGTGCAGTAGTTAGAATACTATGCAAGTTTCAATGAGATGAACATCATTAGTTGTGTTTCGTTTGAACGAGTAGTGAATTTGTCAATATCTTGTATAACACATGCACAACTATTCTGCAGCAGTAGATGGTCTGTAAAAGTGTAGCATGAGAATAATTCCTATGTAGAACATCAGAACAGCTGCCAGCATTGTAAAACCCTAAGAAATAATTATTCTTATCACCAGCGATTGAAATATCTTGGTTATAATACGTATGACAATAGTTAATTTGTCACATTACCGACTTCCAATCTTTAACTTTTTCAATTGCATTATATAGCAGGTTCTTATCTAGGTTAGCAGAGGATAAAAAATTATCTAATCTAGCATTATTCAAGGAAGATCATAGAAAGAGGTTAACAATTAATTAGTAGCATACCCAAATAATTAATATACGTGCGTATATAAGTTTCAAATTAACTACTATGAACGAAAATGCGATAGCATAGAACGTTATTGTATTATAATTATAATAGCCAAGTTCACTCAGCTGTCAATGCAAGCCATTTCTTCCAATAAAATTTCTTTTTTACTTTCTGTCCTTGGAACACCTAGCAAAGTACTGCAAGCGCTTACTCCAACTGTAGTCATGGTAAGTTACTGTACCCAAATTTTTTGTCACTTTTTAACTAAAAATAAGGTTAAAGTAGTCTAAGAATTATTATTAATAGTTATATTCCATTATTCACGAACGTAGGAAAGTAAACACGCGGAATTACTAAATGATTACATACTGGATTTACACTTGCTCCCAGTTGATGACAAAGATGCGGTATATCACAACTGTTTAGAATAATTTAATTTATTGTAAATTCTCTAGATTACGTAACTGTTCACTGCAATAATACATCAACATTACTACTTCTTACAGTAGGATGGCAGGCATATAGTCCGCTTTATTAATAAACAGTTATTGTGTCATTAGAGAGATTTTAAGAATGCAAGAAAAGCGGGTGAAGATGCTGCTGATTATGTCATAGAACATTGTAGAAAATACTTGCCGCTAAGAGAAATGAAACCGGTATACCCCTACACTGTAAACTCTCACTGTCTGTGGCGTTTTAGTCTTACTTTAGCCATACTGTTTAGATTGAACTCTGCATGATGCTTTAATCTAACCTGCATACATATATTTGCTCGTCATTTCCTTAGTATAATACCAATTTACTATCCAAGAGATCCAGGAATAGAATTGGTTTCAATGTTTTTGGTTTGAAAAGTATGTATTTGTACAGTTGATGCCGATCAACACAATATCAGCCGACTCGGTTATACCATACCATTATTTTTAAAGATTTACAACTGTTTAATTGAATCGAAAACTTATTCTGACTTAGGATGCATCCGCGATGGAGATGTCTATAAAGCCAGAAAAATATATCGTGGAATAACCAGGAAAGGTAGAGAATCAACTTTTAAGAACTTTACACTATATAGCCAATGAGAAACAAGAAAATAACGTAACTGTTATTACTGTCTGCTCGAAATAATAATCTTAATCAGGTAGAGAAATACCATTAGCCGCTCAGAACGAATTACTGGAATTGTACGCCCTTAAAGGCATAGGAGTTACCAACAAGGCGCCTGATTTTGTTTCTGTTATGGTTGGTCATTGATATTACTTGCTAAATTATAATATAACACGTTATTTCTTCATATTCACCCTCACTAGATGCAGATACACTGATGTATCACCGTAGTAAAATTATATAAATATCTGATTATGCAATATTGCCATAACAATTCCTCTTGTGTAATCATGAAATTTATTTGATTTATCCATTCTGATCAATACGATGTTAAGGACCAAATTCAAGAAAGGATGGATGATGACACAAAGTCTGAAGATAAAAAGAACGAGAATGATGTTGAGGAGCAAATGCAAGCAAGCACGGAGGATAACGTACAATCAACAGATGAAAAGAAAGAAGATAGCTTTATGGATGGATTAGCTAAACGATTAGCAAACATGCATACGGATGCAAAATCAGCTAGTCCTGTAGCTTGGAGGTAACGTGATAATGAATTTAATTTTGTTTGCAACTATACCTAGTTAATAATGCGTTACGTCAACCTGTATCAACAAGGATAGTATAAAAACAATGATATCATCAATCGCTTAATCTGTTCGATTTTAGTAAATCTAACATGGCAGAAGTCTTCTTCTCGAGGATGAAAGAAAAAGATGGAATTTCTTATAGTGCAATGATCCTCGGAACTCTAAAAGTAGGTTTTAACCTATAATGTAATATCACTACAGGTATAATCTACTAGCTGTTTAGCTATCTTTTTAATTAATTTAGTTTAAGGAATCCAAACGAGCGTGGGAGTTGTTTAAAGAAATGCGACAAAATCAACTTCAAGGCAAATAGATGATAAATGAATTCTTACATAATCACTAAAACTAAACAATCCTAATCAGATCTAAAATTTATACTGTATTGTAAGACGATATCTTATATCTTTTCATATAATTAATTCACCAGGAACCACTGCCGCTTACAATGCGTTGCTTCAAAGTATTGTTTATGAAATAATACCGCCAAAGCGTTGGATTTCCGCTGAGGTAGTGTAGTACCTACCTCTTAAAGTAGTCATATCTGAATAGATATATTGCATTGAACGATAGATCTTATACATTTTTTTTATCAATTCCTGTTCCCTTGTAATTAATTTAGCAACTTGTGCATCATATGCAAGACGAACCAGCGGTCTCTCCAGATCTAGGTAAGTACGAAGTAATGTCAGTGTTCACTATTTAATTTATTATTATTAATGCCAGCGTTTGGATACGAATGATTCCATGTGATTATAAATTTGTTAAGTTGTAATTATCGCTTTTCGTTAGAAACATTTATAACATTGCTAAAATTGGCTCTCCATTCGAACCAATCAAAGATGAAGGTAATGGAAATTGTAAGAGAGATGAAAACTATCGGCATAGGTGTGTAGACTTTATTCCTGGAATTATTTGCGACTTATTGAGATACGATGAAGTGCTCTAATTACAATATCTTTACATCTATTCTAGAGCCTAGTTTAGCCGTATTCGATAACATGTTGAAGGCCTGTCGAGGTACGTAGCAAATCTCTTGGACACATTAACAGTTCTAGATACTAAATTTTTTCTATCAAATAAGGCGAATTAGACAGTCTTCCATACGAAATTGTCAGCACTCTTGAACAGTCCAACTTCGAAAAATGGATTCTTCAACACCCAGATGACAGTAAATACAAAATGCCTTATATCTAATTGTCAACTCTGGTATTCATGTACTTACATTATCGTTTTTTAAACACATTTAGTGAACTTTATGAATACGATAGTCCAAGTGGTTTGTAAATTTTACTTTCAATATCCAACACATATAGACGTTCCAGGTTTATGATACGCTAAAGACACGCTTGATCTCATTACCCTTTGTATTATAGGCAGTGAAGTTAGATGATGCAGATTTAGCTGTCAGAATTTTCAAATTAGCCGACGATAATTGGCAATTCGTAAAAAGTGACAGAGATTTCTTGTATGTTAATACTATAATTTACTGGTAGAGGTAGTATCAAAAGAGACAATTCTTAGGACTTATCCATTATAGCTATCATACCTTGCTTTTTTCGTTGATTAAAGGTCGTCCTTCCTCGCAATAATATGCTCGAATGTAGAACCCGAATTAGTTTGGAATTGCTATAGTGCTATTGTACCAAAGGTATGCCACTATCCAGCAGATTACTATTCATAACAGTTAAAGGTAATACTGCTAACTTGTATCTCCTAGCACTTTGTTCCACGCGGTCATGGTGGACTTAACTATATAGTTATGATATTGCAGAACGCGCGGCGTTTCAACCAACCCAAATATGTTCTAAAAATGTGGAATGGTATATACAAGTTTACGATACTTTTTTGAGTCATCTCAGTGCTATTTAAATGAATAAATTTTTATAAAACAGAAATACAAAAATATAAACTGGTGCTAAGCGAAAGAATGTGTGGAGCAGTATTTTCGGCGTTAAAAATGACCGTAACCGATACTGAGGCAAGTAGAAGCCTTCATGATTTCCAGGAAATTTAAATTTTACAGCTCATTTTAGAAAATTAAGACAGTAACGATCACTCGTACCCTATAGTCTTTAAATATATGCAGACAAGTAGCTACAGAATGTTTCCAAGCGACACAGCGCACTGCTAATCCTGCCACGTTAGTATACTATTGAAATTTCACATTGAACGAACTACGATAGTCATATAATTACTGCTTTTATATCCATATTTTATCAGGCTGTCCTCATTTATGCTTGGAGAATTGATACGACTCAATGTCGTTTGCGGACATCTCGACGAAGCTTGGTAAAATTACGCGTAATTAATGGTATTAATCATTACATAAGAATTTAACGTAATCTTTCCGGTCTTGTTTGCTTACATAGGAAACTTGCTAAGGAACGTACTAACTTTAAAGTTCAATTAAAGTAAGACATAATCTTCTTCTTGTGTAGAACAGATATTAATTGATACTGACGCACCTATTTGTTGCAATTTTTTCTCATTAGTTTCACAGCATTGCAAGCGTTATTTGTTGGCAGTGTTGCAGCTTCAGATGCACCTGCTACTAAAGTAAGTATTCGCTCTGATTTTAGCTGCATTAAATGATTAACAACACGAGTGTATACAATTTGCGGAGTAATACTCTTCAGTCAGAGAACTTAACCACTGTTTTACGTATACCAAGAAAATTTGTCGATCAATTTTTGCTGCTGGATATTATTTACCAGACACAATGCTGGATAAAGTGCAACAAAGTGTAAACTTTGACAACGCAGACCTGTGAGTAACAAAATAAAACAATTATTCCAATATAACTTTCACTTATCATTTCAGCTATAGATTTACTACCAAAATGATGGGTTATTAATTAAAATTAAGTAATCTATTGTTCGTTTTAACGATATCATGTTTTTTTTAAACAGGAAAAATATTAAATCCCTTTTTAATTTATCAAAAGAAAACGGAGGTAATGACTTCACGCTCGGTCTACAGTAGCCTGCAAAGTTAATAAATTTTTTAACTTACATATGACTGACTAACATCTGCTTTGATCTGTACCAATTGTCATTAAGATAAATACCATGTGTCACTGCTTTATACTAGACTATCAACATATACTATAATTAGCTACATTTTATCGAGCTATCTGAAAATCCTGTACATAGCCTGGATTGCATAAATAAAGTGTGAAAATTGCATTAAACAGTATTTGATAATGAAAATTCTCTTGCTTACCAAGCAGCTTCAATCTTATTACTACAAATTAGCTTAACCCGTACGCAGTATTTTGCGGACAGTATTATGTATTTGTTCAACATACATACACATGTCCTGGCATCATAAGCCAAGTTATTGATGACGCTACGAGTAATAGAACATCATGACCTGTACCATGTTATTTCAGATCTATAGTCATAATATCTTATTCACTGCAAGTATACTTAATTAACATCAATAACTGAGACTTTTCAGAAATATTACGCTCACTGGTAGAGGCCCATGTTACAAATTTCTAGAGGATGAACTTAGCCGTCAGAATTTTCGACTGTTGTTTACCACATATCGGCCAATGTTATACTTGTGTATCTTGTAACGTACCATATACGGTATGTGCATATTGCATTCCAGATATCGCGCTCTTTTTGCATGGGTGTACGTATTATGTCATTTATGTAGTAATGTGACCGAAACTGAATTTCTAAAATGTATGCATGCTAGATTATTATAAATACTACTAAGGTAGAGTACCCGCTAGTAAGATGACGGGCAGTGAACTAGTAAAAATAAAAATTAATAACTCTACCGAATCAAAGGTGATTATATTTACATGCAATAAATAGTTGATACAAATATTCAAAATACGGTATGTAGTATGCAGACTGTAAAAGCATACTATTCATACTTTCTCTAGCTTAGAAGATTCATAATTCGAGCATGATAAATATTGTCTCAAAACCTTCGGAGAAAATTATAGATATTTCTAATATATCATAACCACCCAAACTAGTTAACTTTCTTAAAATATGCTACACAACATGAGATATATGATTTCACACGCATTTGTACAGATATACATGTAACTTGAGATTTTATTCATGCTACGACATATATTCGCAAATAGTCAACTCATTGAAAAAGAGATTACAGTATTTACTGTAGCATTGGGTGATAATTATACTGTACTAGATATTAAGTCAGACTGCTACTCTATAATCAGTGAATATGGTATTACTAATTACGTCAAATTAATAATTATAAAGATTTTGCAAGATATGTAAAGCTATACAACTAAAGGATATATTGAATGATTGACTTTATTTTCAAAAGATCGATAATCAAATTAAAAATACTAAAATTATTTACAGTTTTAAATTTCTGTAACATTAAAGCTTTCATCAGAAGATCCACAAATGCTAATTAAGCATCGCTATTCCATCTCTTTACCAGAATTAGAGTCATTATTACATTTAGAAGGATTTTCTAAAGTCTGATCACGTGCGGAACGTGGTTGGTCATCAAATGAATGATAGGTTAAAGATTCGAGCCACTTTAAGAAACTAAAAGGAAGATTGAATTGAAACTATAAATAGCAATGTTAACAAGTAGGATCAAAACCGTAAATTATATACCTACCAAAATTCTTTCGTTTCCTTCTGGATAATATGCTCGTTAATACATTCATCCGTAAATTTTTCAATCTCTTTATCAAATATCGTGTTATCAATAGCTGAATGTATTCCTAAACGCTCGATCTTTCTATTATATGCATGATAATGTAGCTAAAAAATAAAAAAAATTGCAGGAAAACATGAGCGATTTGAGCTAAAGCTTGATCATGGCTTAATTGTCTTTGAAGTCAAATTTTTAACCTGATACAACATCAAGCCTAATCCAGGTGCACGCGGTATATCAACCTTTGCAATTAGTTATTACAGAAACTACTGGTTTATCATTTAATACATGAAAATAATTCCATTAAACGTTGCTTATACTGTATAATTACCCTATCTTTCTCCCATGCTTTTTCCATTGCTTCAATCGTTGCGTCTCCACGTACTATGCCTATCATAAGACCTAACAAATGTGACATGATATTAGCTACAAATTTTGGGTTAAAGACCGCAATAGGAAGTAAACAAATGAAAGCGATTTGTTTGTTATAAATCTACTGGCCGTGACTAACCGATCATCTTACGAATCTGATGAAGCATAAAACTTTGTCCCTTAACAGTAAGGGTAACAAATTCCAGGTTATTTCGCACAAAAGGGAGACCACACTATACAACAACAAAGAAAGCAACGTTTGATATCTGAACTAGCCAATTGTGTAATTTTCTTAACTTACGTCAAATTGCATAATATATCTCTTAGCACTGTCATCTTCATAAGCTCTAAATTATACATTTATTATTAATAATGAATCAGAAATCATGATACAAATTTATATCGTTGCCTTTTATTGCGTAATAAATTTAATATACAAATTCCTAAATCTAAATCATACTTATTGCCAACGAAAAGTATGTAATGAGTTTTAGGCATTGAAATTTTTTAATCATTGCAAACATGCTTACTTACTTTTTTGACGTAAAATTGTGAAAATTTCGTGTTCCAACGTACATCGCCAGTATATCCCGAACGTGCTTTATGGTTGCTTCTATTACCAAGATATACATATTTTTCTGAGATAATTGATAGTTAGTAAACAACAGTAATGCCAGACTATCATGAAGAAAATGTAACAGAAATTGTCGTCATGAGATACGTCAGGGTCTCTGTTTCTGTCATCACTTACGATCTATTCTGTACTGGTAAATGAAGAAATCACGGCCTACTTGCTAAATCAATTTAGTGAAGGTGAAGACGGATTATTTTAGTATTGTATCAATACTACACCTAATATCAGGTGAAAATCACCGTAAAAATCTGTATCTAAAGCATGTTGAATTTAGTTAAATTTAGAGCAATTACATTGCTAAAAATCTATCTGATTAGTTAAAAAAGCATAAGTTTTGAGCAGACCTTTTCCTTATTTGCAAAGGCATATGTAGGCATTACGTATTTATATGTTCTGGCATCACATGCTGTTTTAGAATTAAAACCCTTGGTAACTCGAAAATGACCAAAAACGCGTATCTCTCGCGGCAGATGAGAGTTGATCTTAGCAATGACATCATCAACCACAAACATTTTAAATGATACAACTTGCGCAGCAGCATGCACACCTTTATCAGTTCTGGAAGCACGTTGAAATGCCATCTATTCAAACGAAACCGTAATGGTAATATCGTAATCTAAGTTGGCGTTAACCATGCCTTAAATATGCTCAAGGTTACAAAGCAACATGATATAGTACAATCTAGTATTCTATAAATTTAGCAACAAAGCAGTAAATTTAAACTTGGGAATAACTTGATTCGTAAATTAAACATAGCAAATACGAAGTAAAATCTTCCATACCTTTTGTTCGTGCTCTTTCGCTGCTTCAGGTATGGCACCGGCTTTAAATAGGGCATTTATTAGATCCTCTTCAATTGTTTTAGTACCCCGATTTCTCTGCATACCAAAATATCCAGCACCACAAAAGCCTAGCAACAAAGCAACTTTTCTTTTCTTGCCGATATCATTAGGAGTTACAGTTTGTATGACCTAATATATAAATAAATGCATATCGTAAGCGAAATGTATTAAATGCAGCTGTTCTTCGATACGTCAGACGCCAGATCATTCATCTGGAAAGTTGACTCATTTAAAAGTTGCAATTATAGACCTAGAACTAGCAGCTAATGTACGCCTACATGTATGCTGTATTTTGTGTATTAACAATTGAATTATAACCGCAGCATAACCAATAAATCCATCACTTCAAATAAATCCATGGCTATTGTTGCATATTTTCTTAGACCACTTTCGCTTATGGTACAGAACCTTGTCTGTTGTGCGTACCGTATAATTAGAGCATTTATAATTAAAATTAATCTGTAACGACATAATAGTATGCAGTTGGCAGCAATTAGAAAGCTTTCTACTGTTTATCGACAGTAATATGATATTTCATCATTGCACTGTTAATTCCCACTTCAATTTTACAACTACTGCAAATTGTATATGATCAATCGCTGAGAATAACTTTATAGTGCTATTCATTTCCATATTGCATAGCATCAACTAAGAACGAAATTGCAGGTTGCTTATCTTTCTAATAAGTACTTTTAAAATGATTCTACCTAGCACTGTACATCTGCTTTTAAAAAATAGGGTAATTTTCGTAATAGCAGGTTGTTTGAGATGTTCTTTCATTGACGATCGGTTTAGCCATAATTAACTGATTAATCATACTACCGTACAGTATAAGTAAAATAGGAACTACGGTACTACAATCAATCAAGAATGACATTTCAGTACACCAATAGAGACATGCATGGAACGGTATGCATATCATGATCAAGGATTTGTTGTCAGTTGTAATGTAATATTAAATTTACTTGTTACACATACAGTACACATATAAATATCAATCCAAGTATTACGAAATATGTAAGTTAGATTGTAGCACTCAAGCAAAATGAAACCTCATTTCCGTCACTCTCATCGCAACTTTTGAACTTCTTAGGCGATGGTGGTCCATCATTAGGTACTACACTATCTGGAGTTATTTCTGCAGCCATAACTTTACGGTATATTCCTTTCAATAGTTGTTTTAATTGAAGATACTTCACAAGAGGTTTGTTCATCCAATTCCACTTGCGCCTGATGTTAACTTAAAAGAATAATACAGTACTGTATACTGTAATATAGAGTACTGAATGACCAAAACACAGAAGTGGAGGTGGGATTATCTTGAAATTCTTTCAATTCTTATAGAATTTAAAAGCTATACGTTAATTTGATGATAAATGAAGGCTAGATTATAAAAACTCCCTCCTAGTTTGGGTTGCTACTTAAATTAAATCTATCTGCCACTAGGTCAAGCTAGATCACGGCAATGATTACAATGGCTCGGATGCAGAAGTATACAGTACGTATTAGCAGTGTTAGTACCTTAACAATTATAAACCCACATGGTATAGTATGAACAAAAGCAAAGCCACGGTTTTTCTATACCTCTATCCATACGATACTATATTACACGTGTACTGTGCTCAAACAGTAGAAGACTGCTGTAGTATATGCCCTACCGTAGGGCATGCCAAAATGCCCGCTCTCTCTGACTCTACCTTACCTCCAAACCCATTTATTTCATCGAAGAGCATGCCGAATATACATCCGATCTCTTTTCGTACAAGTAATATCTGTATCTAGAAACGGAGTCTAGTGATACATCCATATTTGATTATACGGATAGCTATATTTGATATAGTTCAGTTAATTTGAATAGATATTATCGTGAAGGTAATATTAGATGATTGCTAACTACTATATTACAAATTGTTGATGACTAATTATGGTACAAGATTTATGTAGCTAGAAACGCTGTAGTTGTTAAGACGCCCTTCGGAGAAAGGGCCTAGACGTTAATAGAAGAGTAATAACATCTTAAGTAGAATGATTTAGATTGTAGAAAAGAATGATGTACTATTAGAGAAAAGCATTTGGTTTGATGACTCATGTCTGATTGTAGATTAATCAAGTTGTCATAAATGGATTTAACGAAATGTTTGTCAGAACTGCAGAGGTGAGCTCATAGGAGAGAAGAGACTTCACTTCGCTTTGAGCTCGGAATACTTTCGATTTTAGAACAGATTCTTGTAGTAATTAATTATAGCTCTACTATTCCTAAAACCTTGTAATAAAAGCCTTTTAGAAAATACTATTTGACTTGATAGTTATTGTCAGACGCATTTATTCTACGGTGATATTTATTTTACTTCAGATACGATGCCATTGCAGCCGCTCAATTTTCATCAGACATCAAAAATTGTGGCTGATCTAAGTGAATAATATTTATAGCTTGAAACTTAACTTAGTATTGGATTGTAAAATATAGATTATACTTTGCCGTTAATTAATTAATTATACGTCGTATTACTATATATCTCTACATATCGTATTATATGCTAAACAGGTATGTCACCATGATGTAAGGTAGTGTACGTAGCTTGCTAATTTATCGTAACGCATATTTAGTAGCTCATAAATATATATCACAATTCAAATTTCTACTGTACGTTCGAGTGCGGATGACCGTATAGCAGGGTATTGGGTCACTATTATTGTTGGAGGTAAAAATAGATATGTAACTTATAGATTAGGATATGGTTAGTGCATCGTGCTTTGACTGATAAAAATAATAACGTCTACGTATACACTCGTACTGTAGTTATTACCAATTACTGTTGACGCAGGACTAATGTAGGCTCTATTCCATTTATACTACATTGTAGTAACAGAGCCCACCAACAGATAGCATCAATAGCGAGAATTTTTATATTTCAGACGTACCTGTCGATCATGGAATGATGACTCATTCGTTATATGCTAGTAACCGTAGCTGATATACTGTAGCTGCAATAACAGTGACACACAGAAGTGCAAATGTGCCAAAATTTATCTAAAAATAGATATTAATATAGCATGAGAATAGAAATGATTTGGATATAGTGGTACTTTCTCATCTAATACTTGTACGAGTATATAATAACATACATGCACCTCTCTTAACATGCTCATACGCATACGTCTATTGTTGTGAATGTACGTGAGAGATTAAGCACATAAAAACAGGCTACATCTCTAAAGTAACAATAACATGTTATGGCGATTTGATTTACAGAGATAATAGGCACAGAAACTGTGGCAAAACAAATATTTTACATCCATCCGTGTTGCTATTGCTGAAATTTCATTAATTATAATTTCCAATATATATAGATCGACAATTATATATAATTTATACCGTACTAATGTAATACCGTTTAAAGCTTAAATTAAAAATGTCGATTGTACGCATACTATATTTCATATCCTAGTTGCTGATAGGTGCTTATGCACGCGATAGCAATTCTATGCCGCTTACAATATACTGTAGGTACATATATAATCTGTTGCACATTAGCTTGTATTGAAAAGTTTCGGAATTTTTTAACACAAGGTACTATATATTATTTCGCTAAAGCCCGAGTCTAGGCTGCTGCTACAACACTTAAAACAGGGGTAACGTATGTAGACGGTAAGTATTAGAGTATTACATAAACAAATATAATCTGTATGAAGTATGAGATCATCGTAATATTATCCCTACGATGTCAAGGTTATGTTAACTTAAAATTAGGAATTAAAAGCTCTACCGGAAATTAGATTTTAAATGTCAAGGTCGTCACTAAAGATTATAAAATTTTATGCAATACCAATAATATCACTCAAGTCACATTTTATGCGCATATTGACATATCTTTAAGCTGAAAAGAAAACTGGTATGATGTTTCAACATTGAAAGTTAGCATTGCTTGCTTCGAATCGTTTTTCGTATACAGTATAAATTTATAGCAAATCGATACAATTTTAATCTCGCAGGTGTATCAAATCAACGATAAAATTTTATATATATTAGTTAGGAAATAACGCAATTTTGTTATTTTGCATGTCTTAAGCCGATATAACTCGATGACGATGTCAATATTTCAGTCATTTTATTATTTAAAACATATTTTCATTTGATTGGCAGACAATTTATCACTTCAATAAGGTGTACCTTTGTACGTATACTAAAAATATAACAGAATGCAGTCTTGTACTAAAAGCTGTATTGTAATATAGTTCATAAGAAATTAAAAATTTACTAAAATATAATTCTTTTAGAATAAGCTGTCAGTATTTGTAAACAAGAGCAAGGGTGTTAATAAATTTTATTCAGAAGGAAAATATTGACATTTCATTTCCTTCCCATACTTGTTACGGTCGATCACCAAGATGGGCAATTTTCATTCCATGATGACAAATAATTATAACGTCTACCGTGGCTTATCATAATAGCGAAGAATCTTCCCAAAGTACGCTAATTAATCATATAAATAAGAAATTAATAATAGTTATCATTTATATGGTGGCATCAATAACAATCGTATTAACCGGATATTTCTTACAGGGTAATTACCGCATCCCAAATAACTATAAGTAGTGAACAGTTTTAACCTTCTCTGCAACATTTTGAAATGATCTACCTTTTACAGTTACACCTTTCTTTCCATCATCTACTAATATATAGCTCATTAGCATTTTGCAAATACTTCTACTCTAGCTATAGTTGAAATAGAGACAGTTGATATTGTGCCAGTTACCAAGTACTGCAATTATATCTTCATTTATGCTCGTATTTCCCAACAGTAATACAGTTAGCTAATTTTAGCATGCTAGTTGGAGCCGAAGTTGTCTTAGGGTTATTCCTGTCCTATATATTCTACCGTTCGCTGTGTGCTATTATAGGTCACTATCGAATAGTTAATATCCTAAAAAAATTTCCAGGACCCAAATCTCATTGGTTACTGGGAAATCTTCATCAGTTGGCATCTCCTAAAGAATTTCTTAAAAGCTACCATAGTTTTAGTCTGAAATTTCCTCGAAAATTTTTACTATGGTATGGTCCTCTAACTCCGGTACTATCTGTTTCACATCCAGAAACAATACGCGCTGTTATAAAAGCTAAGACAATCAAGGATGGTCCAGCTTATCAATATTTGTTGCCGTGGCTTGGACGTGGTATTTTATTAGAGAATGGCACAAAATGGGCAAGAAATCGTCGCCTGGTAACACCAGCCTTCCACTTTGAAATTATGCAATCATATGTTGATGTAATGAATCAGTGCGTATCGATATTTATAGAGAAATTGAATGAACATGCCGTTGATAATACAAGAATTAGTGTATTTGATACTGTGAGATTGTTATCATTCGATATATTACTACGTAGTGCTTTTGCTATAAACTTGGACTGCCAGAGATCAGGTCGAAGTCATCCTTTTGTTAAGCTAACGAATGAAAATACTCAACTAGTTGAGGGTAGACTTTATGAAATACTGAAGAGTCTCAATCTTATTTACAACCTATCCAGTACAGGTCGAAAGTATGCCGATAACTGCCGTTGTTCTAATCAGATTGCACAACAATTAATAGAAGATCGACAAAAACAATTTAATAATAATGAAGTCGATTTGTCCTCCACAAAGTTCAATTTTATCGATATCCTGTTGTCAGCTCGGGATAACATGGGAAAATCACTAACCAAAAGAGAAATATGTGATGAGGTCGAAACATTTCTTTTTGCCGGGCATGATACTACAGCCAGTGCAATATCGTGGACATTGTACTGCTTGGCAAAGCATCCACAACATCAGCAAAAGATATATCAAGAGGTTTACGATATATGCAAACGAGATAGTTTAACCATAGCTGATTTATCTAAGCTCAAGCATACAACAATGTGTATTAAGGAAGCTATGCGGCTGCACTCTACGGTTCCAATAGTAACTCGCATATTAGAAGAAGACACCGAAATAGATGGAATAACAGCTCCAGTTGGAACCATGATCGAAATAGCTATCTATAATCTTCACCACAATCCCGAAGTATGGCCATCTCCATGGGAATATGATCCTGATCGTTACCAGGCGGAACGCTGTCAAAATCGAGATCCTTATGCTTATATTCCTTTCTCGATCGGCAGTAGAAACTGTATTGGTCAAGTGTTTGCATTAAATGAAATAAAGCTAGTAGTTGCCAAAACGGTGTACAACTATTATTTACGTATAGGTGAAGACTACAGTCCTAAACATTTACAATCGCTAGTATTAAAAGCCGCGAACAGTTTATGGATTACGGTGCAAAAGCGTTAATAAACATTGGTCGATATCACACTATAAGAATAGAATTTGAATATCTTAATTAAATTCATTATAATTATAGATTCATATAAGTGATATAGTACCTCTCTTACGCAAATTTATCTACGTACTTGCTGTTTCTTCATTCTCGTACCTTTGCAAAGTTTCAAAATGAAGGTGCAAGAGATTCGTTACTGTATTTGCTAAAACACGTATCTTACTCTTTATATATTAGAAGAGCCTTGAAATACACGGACAAGACTGTTTAACTCTGTTATCAAGATTCTTTTCAAAACATTGATTAAAGTAATCATAACTGCATAACTGTAAATTGCAGTTAAAGAATGTATTCTTATCACTACTAATACGTGCAGTATTGAACTATATTGATAATGTGTTACGTTATATATTACCATTTATCAGTTCTATTACCGAATTTTCTTATTGCATAGGTGTGTTTATAAGACGATGCAATCTCTCAATAAACCTGTCTTATGCAGTAACTCACAATAATTGTGTAACTAATTCTAAATTTAGTCTAAACATTTACGTATATATGATTCATAACTAAAATCAGGGCCTGTTTCAATATTTTTCAATATCGTTTATCTATGAGCGTGATATATAGTGCTAATATACAACGCTAGATTAGTTCTACAGTATGGATGCAGCACTGTATTCTAGATAACACTTTGCAAACGAAAATAGCTCGAGCTTTGAATGTGCGACTGAAATATGCAGTAATAGTAAGGTGCGTTCTTTAAGTTATAGTTATTAACAAATTAAAATGTCAAGGAGCCACGAGCAGTGTAATTTATTAAATACAGGCATGACATATCATCTAAAGCTCATTCCTCTTGATATTTTAATTTAAATCACAAACTTTTGCAGATAGTTTTCATCTTTCAAATTGCTCGACTACTAACACAGGCAATGCAGGATTGCAAATAGTATCATACGGTATGAAAAATATCGCAAGACAATTTAAAAGGTAAAATAATTTAAAAATCAGCGTTCATGATATATCAACTTCAATATTCAGTTTACATTAAATTAAAATATTTTGTTCTTTAAATAAATTTAAATTCACAGAAGAAAATTAAATTACAGAATTATACTATAAAATGTTGATATAAAATAATGACTGACCAGAGGACTAGTACTACACTTTCTATGGTGAAAAGAAAATAGCTAAGGAAAGTAAACATGAGCTATTACAGGAAAGAAGTAGAAGCAATCTTGACTCAAACGAATAATTTGATAAAGTAGAGAATAAAGTAAAGTAAAAGAAAAATCATCCGATATTGAAACTTTACTTATAGATGTCACATACATACCCGAATACATACACATATACGCATATATTCTTAAATAACATATAGATAAATTTTCTGCATCGAAGGATTGTAATATTTTTGCACATTTCTTTTCCATCATACAAAACTATTTACGGGAATCAAAGTCTCCTTTATTTCAAATGAGCAACATATACTAAATTATCTAAACGTGCAATCCATTCCTTACTTATCGAGCTTGTAGTCCAATATTTATATTCCTATTTAAACTTATTCTGTTTTCTGGTCAAAATCCTATCAGACTGCATATTACCCAATACAGATATAGCCCTACGAAGTCCCTATCTGCTGAATAATTAATGATAAAAATGCCTACAAAACTATTGTTAGATAACTATCAATAGAGGTGGCGAGCTCGTCCACGTGATATCACTTTACGCATAATTTATCTATTAATCTGCTGGTTAATGGTAGTTGAAATTTTTTACTAAAAAGTTGCTGCCATCATAGACGGTGAATTCAGCCGATCAATACTATTAAAATCTAGTTGGTCGATTAATTAATAAGTTGATTAATACATAATCACACCAGACAGATTTTCATGATTAGAAATTATGATGGATATGAGTATATTTTATCCTATTTCAATAGCAGTTTGTTCATACTTCCTTTCAGTGTCAATTGCCTCGTTTTACTCGTATGCAAAGAACAGGTTAAGAATATATCGATATGGGAGTCACTTTGATGGACCTAAGTGTCGAACGTTCGTTGGTAATACTCATCAAATGGCTACAGCAGAAACTTTTTTAAACTTTCTCAACGAAACAAGTAAGGTATTTGATAAATACTTTGTTATGTGGTATGGAATGACATATCCATCATTTGTTTGCTATCACCCTGATTCAGTAAAAACAATTATAAATGCCAGTCCACCTAAAATTAGTATTGCATACCGCTTTCTAAACGAATGGGTTGGACCCGGTTTACTCACAGAAAATGGTAAAAGGTGGTCTAGAAATCGACGTCTGATCACACCAGCTTTCCATTTCGACGTACTTAAACCATACGTTCATATATATAATGAAGCCTTGGACATACTTACTGAGAAATGGTCAAATCCAGATCGCTTGCATAAACCATTAGACACCTTCTATGATGCTAGTTTATGTACTCTGGATGTTATTACTCGCTGTGCTTTTTCCGTTGAGTTCGATTGCCAGAGGGAAAATGTAAAACATCCCTATATAAATGCAGTTCGTACTATTACAAAATTAGTAACAGAACGACCCTTTAATATTTTCTACCACAGCGATTGGATCTATTCAATTACCTCTGCAGGTAGAAAATTTTATTCCAATGTCCAGCTAACCCATGAATTTACTGAAAATGTCATTCGAAAACGTCAAGGAGAATTAAGCTCAAGTCATGATGATGGCAGTAAGATGAAAAAGCATTTAGACTTTTTAGACGTTCTTTTAAAGGCAACGTACGAAAATGGCGAAGGCCTCAGCTTATTAGAAATACGCAATGAAGTCGATACATTCCTGTTTGCTGGTCATGATACGTCTTCAAGTGCGCTATCGAGTACGCTTTACTGTATTGCGAGGTATACAGAGCATCAAGATAAGATTCGATCAGAGGTTGATAAAATACTTGCATGTAAAGAAGAAATAGAATGGAAAGATCTACCTGAATTAAAGCATACATCCCTGTGCATTAAGGAAGCTATGCGCTTATACACGACTGTACCAATAATAGAGCGAACTTTAGAAAGAGATGTAGAAATAGATGGTAAAATCCTAGCTGCAGGTTCACAAATTGCAATCGCAGGATTCATGCTGCATAGAAATCCTGACGTTTGGGATGATCCGGAGAAATATGATCCTTTGCGATTCTTGCCAGAAAATTGTGGAAGTAGACATCCATATGCTTATATTCCATTCTCAGCTGGATCAAGAAATTGTATAGGTCAAAACTTTGCAATAAACTTTTTAAAAGTTGCTGTAGCTAAATTAGTTTATCGATATTACTTTACCGTTGATATGAAAAATAATCTAACTTTTACAGCTCCTTTGGTTTTAAAATTACATGGTCATGATATCTATATAAAAGAGAGAAATAATTAAGTCTCACCAGGTTAATAAAGATAGATTGGATTATAAATTCATATGATTAGACTTGAATCAGAAATATTGCAAGATTTTTCCTAGATTACTATTCTAGATGCGTAGCCTTTAGATCATCCGTATCGCTTTTGCGTATTGACTCAAAGTACGTAGTTTACGCAGGTATACTAGTTTAAATTCCTTTATACTGTTTTAAGGCATAGCTTCGAATTTAACATCATTTCTTAGTAACCTTGAACATTACTTCTGTGTAAGTGTACGTGTTCGAGCTTTACAATATTTAAATTTATTCGATATCAATCATGGATGATTAATATAATTTGGTAAGACATCATTAGGAAGTTAGCTTACTATGATTGAAAAAACTCGTAGTTTTGACAAGAAAGACTAAACGCGATATCTTTAGACAACTGTACTAGATTTACTCCTTCTCGTTAGACAGTTGAGGAAAAACCGAAGGTTTATACTCACTATATAATTTATGCATTTTCAGCTACCGCACAGATGTAAAAATCATTGCCCCAACTTAATCCAGTTCTAGTAAAGGTACGTATATATTAATTGGTTGAATACCCGCTCAAATGAAGAGGAACGGTCGTGTTCTACACATAGCATTCATTACATTAAAAGAAAATTCATATCTATATTATCTTACTATACGTACATGAATCCCCTCCTAGTGATAGATACAATGCAGTATCAAGTCCTAGCATGTACCAGCATTCATACAGTATATCCGTTATTCTTGTGTTTTAATATTATTATTTATAATTATGCTGAACAGTAATTCTAGCATTCCTCTCACTGCGAACATGCATAATCCATAGGCGGTCATGTATAATTAATTTAAATCAACCATTATTACGAATTCTCTAATACTCTACATACAGGCCTTTCAGTTTTTTGCCTGTACTGTCTATCGGCCATACTTGCATTTTTACCTAAACAATTAGTTTTACTCCTACCATGGACTTTTCGATTTTTCAATCTAAAGTCCATGCTCCTACTTGTATACCTATTGTCATTGTAGCAAAGTCAAGAGTTCAACTTCATATCCATCCGTATTTAAGCATTGAGACTGTTTAATATCCTATATGGATAATTCCTGCTATAGACCGCCTATCTCAGTCAACTCAGCTTCAAAGTGACTCAGAGGCTGGCCAATCCGGCTACTAAATTCTCTGAAACGGACGTATTCTGTTTTATGCAGTTAATAAATTACGGAATTATTGACTGGGAGTCTGGATGTACTCGTATATCATGTCAAAGCACTGTCAAAACACCAGATGATTACAAGTACACCTAAACTTTCCAGAAGTTTCTGCTAGTAGTACTCTACTGTACACTTAGCGAACTCCACCTGAAGTGCACGTGAAGTGAAGTTTCAAAATCCAACTTCAATGTTCCCTAATTACTGTACAGAGCGTACAGCCATGTTTCTACTGTATAGAATAATCACTTATAACCTATAATCAAAGCAAGGAAAATCACATTGAATACTTATTAACAATAATATCGCATGATTTGATGCAAATGATCATTAATCTGACGAAGCAGCCGATCAGAGTGTTTAGCCATGTTTCTACTGTATAGAGTAATCACTTATAACCTATAATCAAGGCAAGGAACATCATATTGAATACTTATTAACAATAATATCGCATGATTTGATGCAAATGATCATTAATCTGACGAAGCAGCCGATCAGAGTGTTCAGCCATGTTTCTACTGTATAGAATAATCATTTTATAGCCTATAATCAAGGCAAGGAACATCATATTGAATACTTATTAACAATAATATCGCATGATTTGATGCAAATGATCATTAATCTGACGAAGCAGCCGATCAGATTGTTCAGCCATGTTTCTACTGTATAGAATAATCACTTATAACCTATAATCAAGGCAAGGAACATCATATTGAATACTTATTAACAATAATATCGCATGATTTGATGCAAATGATCATTAATCTGACGAAGCAGCCGATCAGAGTGTTCAGCCATGTTTCTACTGTATAGAATAATCATTTATAACCTATAATCAAAGCAAGGAACATCACATTGAATACTTATTAACAATAATATCGCATGATTTGATGCAAAATGATCATTAATCTGACGAAGCAGCCGATCAGATTGTTCAGCCATGTTTCTACTGTATAGAATAATCATTTTATAGCCTATAATCAAGGCAAGGAACATCACATTGAATACTTATTAACAATAATATCGCATGATTTGATGCAAATGATCATTAATCTGACGAAGCAGCCGATCAGAGTGTTCAGCCATGTTTCTACTGTATAGAATAATCATTTTATAATCTATAATCAAGGCAAGGAACATCATATTGAATACTTATTAACAATAATATCGCATGATTTGATGCAAAATGATCATTAATCTAACGAAGCAGCCTATCAGGTTTGCCTGTTTGAGCTATATACAGTATGTCATATATCTAATGAACATCAACAACGTCATTGAAGACTGGACAATTGATGGGGGGCGGACATATCCTTTGTTTCACTTGATATCGATCGACACCTTACTGGTTGAATCACGCCAACGACAATATCGTGTCAACGAAGATCGCGCAACCTACGATAACGTACGATAGTAACAGAATAAAACAATGAAATGTACGTCAGTAGAGTTCACCGGGTCGGGCGACTATTGTACTGTACTTACTGTACTGTACTGTACGTCCTGACAGTACAGTACAGTACTGTAAATTGTGTGTTGAGGCCTAGAAATACTGTGCTCAAGGCAAAAGGTTAAAAAAATACAATAAGATCAGATACTGTAGATATTGAAGACCGATTTGGCTTCATTAACCATTTCCTTCTACTTCACAGCACCCCCATCTGCCATGATTGGGATTGCTATAACGGTGGCGTTGTCTGTTCTTGCAGCGATATTGCTGCTCAATATCCGGCCAATCATACGAGAAATTAAAATTCGTAGGCAATTAAATCAATTTCCATCACCACAGGGACATTGGCTATACGGGAGTCTTTCAGAAATGCAAAACCCAGACAATATTTTGAGTTATTTACAGAAGCAATGTCAAAATTATCCGTCATCGTTTTTTCTCCGTTTAGGCCCTTTCATGTCCATTTTAGTTTGTAATTCTCCTGATGCGGCGAAAGCTGTTATCGCATCAGGTGGGGCCAAAGAAAACTATTCCTATACGTTTATTCGAGAATGGCTCGGTGATGGATTATTGATTTCTAATGGAGGAAAATGGGCTAGGAATAGAAAATTAGTTACGCCTGCCTTCCATTTTGGTGTTTTAAAGCATTATTTACCTATCTATAATCGATGTGTTGATGTCGTAATTGAAAAGTGGTCATCCCAGGCTGCTACAGGTCAATCATTTGAGATCTACTCTGATATGAATTTTTTAACTTTAGATATTATCCTACAAAGTTCTTTCTCTCTTAAAACCCAATGCCAAACTATTGGCAAAAATGATCCTTATGTTACTGTTGTGAAAGAATTAGCTTGGCTGACAGTCAATCGCTTTTTTAGTCTTACTGGCTATATTCCATTTCTTTATTACTTAACTTCGGAAGGTAGAAGATTTAATACTTGCGTTAAAGAATCTCATCGTTTTACAGAGAATGTCATTCGGAAACGCCTACGTGAAGTTGAATTAGGCTCGGAAAGTAATGTCCGAGACTATATTGACTTTCTAGATATATTAATCAAAGCAAGAGATCGAGATGGTAAAGGTTTATCATTTAATAATATACGTAATGAAGTGGAAACGTTTATGTTTGCCGGCCATGATACTACTTCAAGTGCTTTATCATTTACCATTTATTTATTAAGTAAGCATAAAGAACACCAGCAAAAAGTAAGAGATGAAGTCAAATCAGTTCTACAGGGTAGAAGTGATATAGCTTGGAACGATTTATCCGAGCTTAAATATACTACAATTTGCATTAAGGAAGCCATGCGTTTATACACGACCGTTCCAATGATTGAGCGTGTACTCGATAAAGATGTCAAAATAGATGGAATTACAGTTTTAGCAGGTACCAAGATCAATATACCAATCTTCGTCTTACACGGTAAGGCGAATACTTGGCTGAATCGCGATGAATATAATCCTTCGCGATTTCTATCGGAAGAAATAGCACAACGCGATGCTTTCTCCTATATCCCTTTCTCTGCCGGATCAAGAAACTGTATCGGTCAATCATTCGCCATGAATGTATTAAAAGTGGCCGTCGCTAAAATTGTCCGGCACTACCATCTAGAAATTGATGAAACTAAACCTGTGGTAACAACGATCCCACTTGTCATGAAATCCGCGACTGGAATATGGATTAAAGTCAATGAGCTATAATATTCATAGCTGCTATCATAATTACGTCAATAGGCTATAAGGATCCCTTTGACTATTCATCCAATTCTGCAATTTAGTATCTCTAGCGCTAGAATATACGGCTAATTAACGTAGTACGAACGCGCGTATGCACAAAGAGTCGTTTTATCTTATCTTTTTACTGTAACTGTTATGTTATAGGCCATCCTTGCAACCGTATTGCACTTCATAGTGCAATACAACATAAGCGCATCTATTACTATTATTACTATTATTTGATGTATCCGAAGATAGAAATTCTAATATACGAGTAGTAATCGACTATTACATGACGTCCACGGAAGATACCTGATTCTAATAACCTTGAACTTGTAGTTAAGCATACCATCATGTAAAGATGTCGATCTAAATCGTTTTCAGCTCTTATTCTAGGTGCGTTATTTTGTATATATATAAACCTTCGGATAGTACCACATGTGTGCAGTACAGCTACATTGTCCAGTTAAACATAGGCGGACATTCCATTCATTTTGATGTCCATATTGGCGGAATTACTTAGTCAAATCTTTAAGAATAACAGTTGTGTAGTGTATTTAGAATATATTGTAACTATATTCTATTCTTAAATATAGACATGTTGTATTGATCTTATATTTAGACATATCTACAGTCTGTTCGCTCTACATTCAAATATGGCTTACTACATTTAGTTATTACAGTCCTCGCTATTTTCTACAATCATCTGCTATTCTATAACCTGTTATGGTATATATTGTATCTAATCCTACAATCATGTTCTCTGCATGTGTTCTAATGCCATAGCTATAAATACTACCGTTTTCTACCTTAGATTTCTTAAGTTGCATTATTAGTAACAGTTAGTATTCACACTTTACTCACGGCAGCTACCACGCTGACCTACCGTAATTATCACATTGTACCTAACTAATATCGACAATAAAGTATCCTCTTTTCTTAAGCTCCTTGTGCAATTCTCTACATGGCAACTAAAACCACATTATCTGACTCTTCTGATATATTTTCATAAATAGTTTCACTTTATTCAATTATGCTTCAATAAATCTATAAATAGACGAAGAAAAGTATATGCAATAACTTTTAAAATTACTGCGGATATTCTGTATTACAATCACTTTGACAGTGACGGAAGCATTAAATGCATCGTCAAGAAGATAAAGATTGTAATAGATGAATATCTATGTCGTATGTCTATTGCAATATTATAATAGATCTTTAAAATATTAAAGCATAAGAGTTACAATAAACTGCAGTAACAATAAATAGAAAGGGCATTCTATACAGTGGAAGAGATCTTCATTAGCCGACAATAGTATTGATATTGCTCCTAAATTTTACGAAAAGAAATACATATTTCAATAGGAAGTATCATCATGATTAATGAAGCTGAATTTCGCTTTGCTATTATTGCCGTACCAGTCTATCAATCATCTTTTTATTTTGACTTTTTAACCTATGCATAACTTGAAAGCGATCTGATCGAATATCTGACTCATTCGCTGAATTATCTAGCCCGGATCTATAGAACAGTCCTAGGAAAACTCCAATTCGATTCCAATGACTTGTATGTCTACAATATATCGAGAATATATAAATTTAAAATTGTTACAAATAAAAGTTATCCGTAAGCCTACCAAAGATTTGAACTAATCACAGTGAAGAGAGTTGCACATCAGCTAACGGCTATATGATTTTTACCTGGAAAAAACGATTATCTTGGGATAACTATTTTTACCACCTTTTATTATATTTCTTTTAATTTCTTCAATGTAATTAATATAGATTTGATCGTCCACAGCTTTATCATCTTGACTCCAATGCAAATAATGGTAATGAGTGATAGCTTTCTTTTGATTTGTCTATATTACGCGTAGGATGATAAATAAAGTTAATCAAACTCGTAATGCTAGCTACTTTTACAGAGAAGTCGCGACACATTAGCATATACAAGTAATACTTCAGATTTGATTCACCTCATAGTCAGTTAAAGTCATCTTTGAGATAGTGAAGTGAACATTTTCTCGTTCAACAGCTTCCGAAAAGTTTTTAAATTTTCTTTTCGAATGATGGCACCCAAGCTAGATATTAGTAAATTATAGTACAATGTTATTCTTATTTAATCTACTTTTAAAGATCCCTGAAGAAAAATATCAATAATTGTCTAGGTATCAAAAACTATGCTTTGAAACATACAGTGCAAAGCGTTATAATTACGGAATAGTCACCATCCCATGCCAAGTTTAGCAGATCAGTAGGCCCCTCGTCTACACCAGTAGCAGCTACTACGTGTATACCCGATAAATCCTAGGCAAATACATGATTACGAACGGGTAAAATTGCCCAGATAAAGAAAATCTACTAAAACGGGGTGAAATTTCTTAGCGTAAAATTCAAACTAACCTGGATATGATAGGCATCCAAGCTATAATTGTTAATCTTATTAGATTGCAAAAGCCCTGAAACTAAAAATCACAAGTGTTTAACGATAACTTATGAGTTAAGACAGAATGCATTTAATGAATAATAATTTTAGATCAGTTGAAATTCGAAGAATATGTTATTACCTTTTAATCCTTCCGTACAAATGGAATAATCTAGCTTCTATAAGGTTTAATCATTACAAAAAAGTATTAATAGATTTGATTACATAGATAGATCGGTTGATTAAAAATTGAATTTCCTAAAACTAATTTATCAGATTTTTAATACTAAAACATGCCTGAAATTCTTCGTCAGTTCCGTCTGAGTCTACAACATCAATGCAACATGTGTACTTTAGGCATTCTTCCTTGAGATCTTTCAAAATATTCGAGGAATAATTTATTAGTCCTCCCTCAATTGCTTGTGTTACTAGACTATATATCATCCAAACATGGACCTGAGTAGCAAATAACAATACTGCAAGGTTGGTTAAAATGATCAAATCTTATCGTTATTAATAGCTAAAAATGAGTCAACTAATCAATTGGTTTGAGAGAAACATCTTTAAAAGCATTTTAAATTAACTTGCCTTGGTTAGAAAAATAGAAAAATCTTCCTGATGAATTTTTTCCATATATTTTTGAATATTGACGCAGTCATTTGTTTGAATCTCTTCAATAACGGAGGTAGTCACAAAATAGACCAAGCTATCACTGAGGTAGCCAGGACTATTCAATCAATAAAGTCAGTAAAATAACTTTGACTATTGTAATTGTAGAAAGTAATAATGTGAGATACTATAGCAATATCGGCTTTCATTACTATCAGAAAATAACATCTACCTCGTTACAATGTAGAGGGGATTATTGTTCTTGGAAATTCGCTGAATATGATCTTTCCAAGACTTGTCAATAAAATTCAACCGAAACATAACATCACTTGGTGCGATTTTGTAATGTTGCCAATCCCTATACCAATAAATATCAATCGTTTTTTCTAGACCATCGTCCTATCCATAAAAATTTAATCAGAGTCACGATATAAATTTAAATCTAAGTGGCTTTGTTAGTCTCATTTCAAATGCCTTAACTCTTATTTCTTACCCTTCGTAAAGTAACTTTAAATTCAGAATATTTACAATAATCACGACAGTGGTTGACAACTAATTCAACACAATCAAATTTTAGAATGCTATTGGTTGTCCACCCTTTAGTTAAATTTTCCTAAGTTTATTGGTAAAAAAATTAGATAAAATATCGCTGTATTAGCAATTAGACATTGAAAATGGATAAAGATTATCTTTGTTGATTTTTAAATATTTATGAGCAGTCATTGTTATATCAAAATCACAACAAGTTGTATCCAAAATAGGATAGTACTTACAGCTAGGAAACAGTCTATCTCACTAAGTAACACTAAGACAGAACTTCCATGATTCATGTAACACTGCAAGAATTGGCCAGCAGATTGATTATTAGGACCTATGCATATAAAAATATGTTAGTTAATTTAATAACATTATAATATAGAATTTTTAATTTACATAATTTTTTGTGTTTCATGATTTTATCTTACATTCCATAGCGATATAACTATACGTGCTAGGTTCATCGTCCGAATTACTTGAAAAGCGCTCTTCAACTATAATTTAATTTAAGGAGACAATGTTTTAGTTGTAAAAAGTATTTTAATGGCATTAATAATTGCAATAATCAACTTTGAATACGCTAATTGATCAATAATAAAGATAGTGTTCATTAGAAAGCATTTACTTATAGCATGGACATTGAAATTCCTACAATTATCTTAATATTATGATTGCTATAACTAATTCGTTATTAAAGCAGTGAACTTGGATTGTAAACTAAGGAACAAATATTACCTCCAGGAAGTAGATCCTTGTTACTTTTAACTTTTCTTGTACACGTATGCCCCTATAAATATTATAACAACAGTTTTAGTTGCCTACTTAAATAACTATTAATATCATATTTAATGTATCCAATATTAGCTATACCTCAACAAGAATGCCTCGACAAGAGCCTGCATATTTCTTTATATCATAAGTGCCTAACACCACCGGAGGAGACTTGAAAGAAATTCATAACGTGAGAAATCATGCAAAAATTCTAATAGTATTGAATATTTCATTATTTCAATCCTTACCGGTGATTCCTTCTTCTTTTTTTCAACTATTTCATAAATTTTCTGAATGTACTTTTTAGTAGTTAGTGTAGCATCTAGTTTATATCAACATATTAGTAAATATGAATTTATTTATTAATTTTTTAGCAAAAACGACGGCTGTTCATATATTAAAATTCCGACAGAAATTTACCTTTTTCTCCGTAAGACGAAATTAAACGTAATGATTCAGAAGTAGAATCATCCTTGCTTAATATAGTCTTTACTTCCTCTTCGATAAAATTCGCAATGCTTTAAGTAAAGAGTTCACAGACAGAGTCATAAGAAATTAAATTGTGGTTTAAGTTTCTGATGAACAAGAAATTTGAATATAATTTTTCAATCACCTTTTAGAATATTTTTTAAGAAATTTTGCAGTACAGTTCAGATTTAAAAGGATCGGTGTAACCACAACCAAAAATGATAATATAATAATAATTACAATAATAGGTGGGACTGCTGCTGGCATAGGTGGGCTTGGATCTATGGCATTAATAATAGAAATTGGCCCAGAGTTTATGCACTAATCAACTACTACTAGGTAAGCAAGATAACTTTGTAGCTATATCTTATAATCTTTAAGAAATAGTTCTTAAGTTAAGGTTAATTTAAAATCATATTATAATGCAAAACTAAAGATTAACTTCAACAGAAATAGGACACGATAAAATAAAGAATACTGGTATTAATTAAATACGACTCAATGTTCTATAGTATCCTTATTAGTAGAGAATGAAGTGAAATTATTAATAGCACTTAATAGAGATAGTTAAGTATTTATGTACTGCGCAATCTAATTAAATTCCTACAAGCAGAGGACAAAATTAAAATAGTAACTCTAACTACTAATATTCGCAGAGTCTAGAGAATTATTCCTAAATCTAAATTTATACCCAGGAGAATAACTAAACCGTTCAGTGGTATAATACAGAAGGCTGCGTAATATTACATATACAGTACTAACATAAATACAGGTGCCTGTTACTTAAAAATGAATACAAAATTTACTTACAAATTAAACGTTTCGTAGTAATTCGAAGAGGATTAGTGTATATGCCTTCACCAACAGCTGTTAAAGCTGCTACAGAAAAGTAGTAGCTGGTACTAGGTTTAAGTTCCTTAACTTGATATGAAATTGTATTAGAAATATTCACATAAGTGATCTCGTTTAAGCTTTCTTCATTATATCGAAGTTTATAGCCAATAATTTGCCCATTTGGTTTATCAGGAGGGAGCCAAGAAACATTGACTGATTGATGATCGATAGGAGATCCACTAAATTTAGTGGGAGGGCTCCAAGGCACTATAAAATAAAAGGGCATAGATTAGTCATAAATTAACTATGGCAGGCAAAATATACTGGTGAAAAATCTGTAATTACAATAATACCAATTAAACTATGAAGTACTTACCGTCTTCGTTAGTTTTAGCTTCCACTACTTCGCTAAATTGGCTAGTTCCAATAATGGTAGCAGCTGCAACTTGCACGAAGTACCGAGTGTTAATTGTTAGATTGTGAAGATTGCAACTATGATCGGATCCTTTGACTGAAATCTTCGTTGCTAATTCATCACCTTTAGCTTGGTATTGTACCTTATAAGATATAATTTCCCCATTCTGTTTATCAACTGGCGGTGGAGACCAATTAATGGTCATGCTTGTTGAGCTTTCGACTACAATAATTACGTTTTTCGGTGATGCAGCAGGTGCTGTCGTGTAAAAATATATAGAAATTTTATCAAATACAGACTGTAGTTTAACATCACCATAATTGATTAAGAACAAAAATACAATTTTATATAGCTAACCACTTTGATTGGTTTGAATATTGATAGGTTGGCTAAAGGGGCCTACACCCGCAGATGTGCTTGCCGCGAGTCGTATCGAGTATTTGGTGAAATATTTTAAATCCTGTAACGTATATTCGCTTACATCGCGATTCACTCGAATTTCATGGCTTTGAACCTCTTTAGATTGATTTGGAGTATGACTATACTTGATAAGATATTCGATTATGATTCCATTTCGTTCCTGACGAATTAATTCTTGCCAGGATACTAAAATGCTAGAAGGCTCAGTTAAAGTAGCGTTTATATGTCTTGGTGATGCCGATGGAGCTGCATAAAATCGTATAAAGCAATGGAGAAACTATTAATAATTAATGGAATTAGATGAACTTTTAATTTAGTGTCATACATGATTAATGTGTTCTCTAAATTATTTTAATTTATTAAATATCACCTTACCACTTTGTTGCGTGAATTTAATGCGAGGCTTACTGAAATTTCCTTCGGATGGATTAGTTGCAGGATTAATCGCTCTAACTTTGACTTCGTATCCTGTGTAGGCATGTAAGCCGGGAATAACTGCTCGTGTTTCATTCAAGTTTATTATCGACCACGTTGATGATTGTGTACTACGATAAAATAATTCATATAAGGTTGCAAGTGCTATGTCCTGATTAAACTCTGGTGGGAGCCATGATACAGTTAAGATATCGAATGTCTCAGATATGACAGACAAATTAACCGGTGAACCAGGCGGATCTGTGGTTATATAGTACAATTGTAAAATTCAATTAGTTCGCTTATAATACCAGCAAATTTCTCTTTATAGCTAATAATGAAGGTTTGATCCTCACCTTTAAGTGTTTTGGCACTGTCGTTTTGACTAGATGGTCCAAGCAGATTATAACCAACGTTATAAGCATAAACACAGAATGTATACCACCTATTTGGCCTCAAATTTTTGACACTGAATGTAGTTTTATAGCCATTATAAACTTGTTTCGCTTGTTCATTGCTCTGATACATTATTAACTTATAGGCAATAATGCCGTTCGGCAGCTTAGGAGCTTGCCAGTTTACTTTAATTTCGGAAGCAGATACAGCATCGGCTGTGATATTCCTAGGAGGGCTAAAAGGCGCTATAAATACAAATATACAATAATATTATTTTACAAATAGATTAGATGCAGCCAAAAATATCGTAATCTAAAATTTCACTTACCCCACTGTTGTGTTCTGTGAGAAATAAGAGAACTAAAATTTCCATTTCCAATCGCTGTTGCAGCACAAATTTTGATCTGATAGTATGTCCAAGGTTTTAAGTTTGTCACCAGTAAAGTTTGTTTTGCAGTTGGATTGCCATCAACTGTAATACAATCGCTGTAAAACAGCGTATGATTAGCTTCTTCTGCAATAATTATGCAGTATTTGGTGATAAAACCGTTGCGATTTTCAAGAAGTGGTGGCTGCCAGAGAATAAATATGCTTCTTCGACCGTTATCAATGTTTTCAACCGTAATGTTGGTTGGAGGGCCGGTTGGAACTAGGGCAATCAAATATCGGGAATGTTTATAAATTAATTATTGTAATTGTTCAACTGTGTTGGGTACTTTATTTAGTATGCTTACTAGGAAAGAATTAGATTATCAATAAAATTTAGATTCGAAAAGTAATTTAGACGAATTAAGTGGTTAATTGTTGTTTAAATCATCACACTTACTTCCTTCTCGTAATTTTCCAATTCCAGGTCGGCCAATTGGTCCTAAACCTGCACTTGTATAAGCTTGCAACGCGAATTCGTACATTGAGTATGGTTTCAACCTTTGAACTTTATATCGACGTTCTCCATCACTGATATTACTATTAGCTTTTGTAACAATGACTTTACGTGAAATATTAAAATCTCGATCCAAAATATGTAAGTAGTATCCTTGAAGAATTCCTCTTAATTGTTGGAGATCAGGATCCTATTAAATTTAAGTTAAAACTCACGATCATGATAATTAATCCTCTATTCCTTAAGCAAAATTTATTCATAGGTATTACTGTCAGTTTACTAATATGCATATACGAGTATGTGTATACTGTACTTATAGTATTAATCTGAATACCTGCCAGGCTAACATAACAGTAGTATTGGTCTCATCAAAGACTTTAGGATGATGAGGGCTTGCAGTTGGTGCTGAAATAGAAATATAGCGATACTTAAAATTCTCTGATAACATTTTGCTATAACAGTAATTTCTTGGATGCAACCATAGATTAAATCTTACGATATATACTATTCAGAATAATCCTCCTTTTAAAATTTTAAATTTATAATTCTATTGCGTTAATATGCGTTGAAAGCAAACTTACTGTCTTGATCAGTAAGAATTTGTTGTAATGGACTCGCTGGCCCGCTGCCATTAACTGTTTCTGCTGTTGCTTTGAAGGAATATAACGTAAAAGTCTGTAGCTTTGTCAACTTTAAAGATCTTTGCCTGGCTGGGACCGTCATCGATATCATATTCTTACTGTAACTTATTCCATAGTGAACGGTAACAGAGATTATTTCACCATTTCTGTCTATCTGAGGAGGTAAGTCCCAATTTACCATAATTGAATCAACTCCTAATGCATTTAATCTAACATAAGAAGGAGGTGCGCTTGGAGCTGTAAGATGAAAGAATCATAAAATAAAAATCTTAGATAATGTTCCTTCTTATCTACTTCTATAGAAAATAATTGAATAATTTTTCAGTCACTGGAAATATGAATCTAAACTTACCCGCAGATGGTGTTTTTACGGATGTTATAATTTCAGTAGGATGGATCAGATTATATTTTATATTATACACAGTCACTGATATTCGATATTTATGATCTTCTTGTAGATCAACAATATTACAAAAGGTCTGATTGGTATCACAAGCTTGAAACCTTGATAAGTTATTATTGGATATATAGAGGCGATAAGCAATAACTCCATTTGGTTGAGCTGGTGGATCCCACGTTAAACGAATACTTGTAGCATTGATAGGATATGCATTCAAGTTACTAATTGGCTGGGATGGAGCTATAAATAGAAAAATATTAGTACATTTAGCCTACAGTATCAAAGTTAAGACATTGTATGCAATGATAGCCACTATAGTTATATCATTCTCACTATAAAATTGGCTAGATTTCTGACTATACTGACTTGTTTCATTAGTCTTGATGCGTAAAACTGTTTTGGAATTTTGGCCATCATCAGTATTAGCATAAATAGCGACTTCATATTCAGTAAATGGTTGTAACGAGGTCAATGTAGTAAAATTTTCACTGACTATGCAAACAGCCACTGACAGGCTACCAGTACACGATGCTCCATGAAACTCTCCCTTGAAATCTTGCGCTATTTCAAGGGTATAGTTTGTGGTTGAATTCGTTGTTTGATTAGCAAAAGGTAGCCAGGCTAGTTGGATAGAATAGGGCTGTGTACTTACAACGTGGAAATGAGCGATTTCTATCGGCCATTCAAAAGTTGGTCAAATAAATAAACCTAGTATTAATCATTTATTTGCTAGCATCGAACAGAATTTAGCAGATTGCCGGTATAGATATTAACTATTCCAGATCAATGATAAGTTATAATTATTACACCTCCGTAAAAGTAGTTCTAACGAACATTTTTATCAGAATAGACATTTTAATAGCTATAAAATTCAGGAGAACAACAGATATCTAGTGTATTTATAAGATACCATTTATGTGGTATCGAGTAAAATTTAAGAAATGGTGTAGATCTTAGTTGCTTCGTAAAAAATTGTAGAATTTATAATGGCATAGTTATAATATAGGCTTTGCAAAGTGAATCAGAAATCTTTCAAGTCATGCTAAGAAACTTACCTGTAGAGCTAATTCCTGCTAATGCCAGTAGGAGTACAGTTGAAACTAAATAAGCGGGTATACAGTAATTTCTAGACATTATTATCCCATAAATAGCATAGTTCAGAATAATCGTAGAACGCTTTGCGTTGATCGAATGTATTAATCTAACTAAATTGAATGCCTTATATATGCTCGGCACTTGGGTTAGCTAGTTCACATGGCAATTAAATAGATTTTATTGCGCATGAACGCCATTAATCATTGCGTCATGGGTAAAATACAGTTATTTTTTTGAGTAATGTGTTTATATTGTACTAAAATAATAAATAGAAGGATTTTAAGTTTACAGTTTTGCTGCATTAGGCCATAAGATTAGTATGTATTTTATGTGAGGAAAAAATTTTAAACGATCTTGATTGAGAATATTTCTATGAGGAATGTAGAAATACAAAATTAACTATAATATAGTTAAATTCTGGCTGGTACGCTGGCACATAGAAATAATTCCTGAAATCTTTTCACTCCACGTCACAAATTTTACGATTTTTAAACGATCATAATGAGAAATACAGTAATATCGAGCATACATGTAATTTGCTTTAATTGAATTCTGATTAGTGCACATTTTTATGAGAAACACTTCTGAAACATATCGCACAAATTCTATAATTTTGTTATGCACCAACATATTTCAAAATATTAGCTTAAATAGTTCTCATACATATTTCCAAAAATAAGGGTACGATAACTGAAGAATCTTCAGCTTGGCTCCTTAATTACTTTGGTAGTATTTTACGAGACAGAAAAATTTTAAAATAAGTGCTTATAATAATTATAGACATCTTTGCGTTATGCCTTTACTGTACAATATTTACATTCGATTATACCGCCAGATTAAAGTCTACCGGTCCGATAAATTTAATTTCATGTTATAAACTGGTTGACTGCGATATTTATTTATACAGCGACAAGGCAGACAGTCTTTTAGTGTTTGATTTGAAATGTTCACTACGAGACAACATATCATGTGTTCGTAGCGTGAGAATTTTGACCCGCCCTAGGTATCAGCCTTATAAATATAGAGACAGACTAGGAAATTGTAAACGTGACCATATGATGACGGAATTTTAATCTCATTTACCTAAAGTAACCTTGTTGTCCATTGTGCTAAGCATTTATTTATAGCTTAATTTTACAATGTCTTATTAGGACAGTGTTAAATTAGAAAACTGCTCGCAATAAATAATCTTAAGGTATATTTCACTAAATATTCACAACATGCAAGTCTGTTAATTACCGAATGGTAGCTTAATAATTTATCTTGTAATGGTTTAAACTATTACATCATTGTAAAGGGGTGATTAGCTCGTGATTAAATAAATACTTAAATGTTATATAGTTAATCAGAATTCGTCAATCAACCGCCATAAATCATCTAATGTTAGACAAATATGTTTATCTAATCTTTATCAATTCAGAATATAGTACTTGCAACAGAATACAATATTTAAATCCTTTTTAACAACATCCTGTGAAAACAGACGAATTCTAGATAGCAGGTTTTCCTTAATACGTATGTATCAAACGTATATTTGACCTAATGTTAGTGATTTTAGAATTACTAATCAGTCATATCAATATTAGAGTTCTTTATCGTCTTAATTATTTAAAACTACTTCTGTCATTTCGAAAGCTTTCAACTATAGAAAACATTTATATCAAAACCAATTTCTATAAATAGTGATACCCTTCAGATGATGTCATCTGTTAATCATGCAAACAATTTTTAAAATTACAAGTAGACTTCTTAGTATTATTACGCGGTACGATACCTTATTAATTTAGAATAAATAATTAACTAGTACGAGTATTCAAATAAGGTAGATTTGAGGATATACCGGCGATCAAAATAACGAATTTGGATTTAACTTTGAAAATCTGTTGTTGTTAATAATATAGATGGAAGATAAGGCTGAAAGGCCGATAAGATTTTCCGAAAATTTTACCTTAAGTTTATAAGCAACAAATGGTAATTACATGAGGCTTGGTATAACTACATCAGCTTGTTATTTATCATAATTAAAGATAGTCTGATAAGTAGTGGATATGGATTAACGCGCACTTCAGAAACTGCTCATAAGTTCATTTTAAGATTCTACTAAGTAGCAGATATTACAGTCTAGAGATTTATTAACTTTCCAAGCAAGATTTGGAAGATAATCCAAAATAGACATTGATATGATTAAGTCGGAGTAAACTCAAATACCTTACACTGTATTTACTATGATCAAATAATAGCAAGTTTTACTACTCAAGACAATATCAATGGATGAACTTCGAATTTTAAAGAGCTAAATAACTCTTGCAGAAGGGATGACATACACCAACTGTTATACTTCAGAAGTATTATGTAATGGGCCATTGTGAGATAGATACTTTAATTAAGTTGGTGATTGATCAATACTATATTTAATCTGTAGGTATAAAGCGATATAGAATAGAATAATCATAAAGTGAATTAGTTTAAAAATACTTTATATTATGTTTCTTATCAACACCAATAAATTTTACTACTTAAGGTCACGGATGTTCACGAATTTTTTGACTTTCTAAGCGCTTAGGTGCTCTTATTGGGAAGATTAGATATGTTAATTAATATTTTGACTCCACAGAAAGTAGTAGGATATATTGCAAAGTCAACACTTCTGTAAGGTACGAGCAGAAAACTAATATAAATGAAATCATCAGCAAGTACTGTTTTGTTAGTACTAAGACGAATATAAAGGCGAAGGGAAAATTTTAAGATTCATTCGATAAACCTGCATTAATCTAGTAGTACTACTGTATTAACAAAAGCAATATACATGCAATATATTTCGGAGAATGCTGTAAGATTTTTCTTTTAATTGCGACTAAAAACGATTAAAAACGGAATTATTGCGAAATAAAGTGATCCCTCCATGATTAAAAGTATTTAAAATAGCCAGATCGCACTGTACTTTATTGGAACTTTTGAGGTTATACAATTTATATCATGCATATTGTACAAATTTTTAGTAGTTTCAGAGACAGTAATTTGTAGAACTATAAGAAACTGCTTTGTTATCCTAGAACAGCTATAGTGATTAGGAATGAATTTTTTTATTCGTTATTGATTATTATTTACGAAGAAAACTGTTGACTATTATAGATAGAACTTATTTCTCCTTTATTTTGGCTGTATAAGCCACCAAAATAGCCTTTACGACACCTACTTGCGATCTCTTGGTCGTCGATTTGGTTATATTAGACAGAATTATTCTTAATAAATCAGCTTCAATAGCACACATATACATTATCACGTTATTAAATGCCGAAAAAATGTTACTTTATGATAATATGATCTTTATGAGAAGTATTTATAGCACTTCTGTGCAGTTGAATTCTACTCTCTAAAACGGTAATTGTTATAATTTAGCCTCTGTCTGATATCTAATACCACTTCCTATGGCTGCCAAATAGAAAAAATTAATATTTCAAACAGTAGCTTCTTCCATCATGTTTCAGACAGTTGAGGTCCGGGTGGCTAACTTTTCAGCATGAAAAAACCACAAAGATATTTAAAGTAGCAATGCATTATTGCATTATGTGTTTTTGGAACGCAATCTTTGTGAAAATGATGATGTTTGATCAAAAAGCTCTCATAATTACTTAAGGGAGTTATTTTTAGCGGTATTGCTATTGTGTAGGCGCATCATAATTTTATTATTTGGTTATATTATTATATAGTTGCAGCTATACGAATATACCAAGGTTTCTTATGTACTATATAGTAAATACTAATATTAAAGATTAGATCTAATTAGAGGCGTTATTGACTTGGATCAGCCGGAATCGATGCAAGAATAAAAAAATAATTAAGCAAAATTGGAGGATTATCAATTGCCGCAGTATTCCATACTTACTGTAAATTTTTATTGGTTAGTAGCATTTTTATTTACCTTGATATATGAGTATAATCATACGATATACAATATGGCATGATATTGACAATACCCCAAGAACAAACAAAAATAGTCCCTTAACTATTTAATGATAAATAAAAACAAGTTTGGAAAGAATCAACAACTATATTTAGCTATTATAATATCATATTTAAAATGGAGATGTTTCGACCAGCTCAAATCAGATCTCAGTATTCCATTAAAAATTTATTCAGAACGAAGTATGATGTAAATGCTTGTATGATCGCGACCATATGTACAAATATGATACGCTAAAGGGAAAAATATTAAGAATTGTTTTAGCGATTTAAAAAGTATTATGTCAGTGTTACGATCATTTATGCTGTGCGTAACTATAAAATTATAGTATAATATCAGCAATGGTAAGTACTTTTTAATCAACAGTGATTCGATATATTCGTATGCAGATTGCTAGATTTACGAGTACTATATGATTTATGTAGCTCGTGATTGTAATCTGAATGGCATATAAGACTAATGCCCATACAATTATTCTATCAATTCATTTTGAAATTAATTATAGATGTCCTATCCAATATTATTATAACTTTCTATTAGACTTTAAATATGATGAATCGAATATTCTCAAATTATAATTTAAGCTCGAAATATGAGATAAATGACTAAGCTAGTATATCAGACAAGGATCTACGATGTTAAGAAAGATTAATCATGCTAATTGCCATATAAAGACCGATTCTTGTATACATTATGCGATTATTAATGATTCTAATGACTCTAAATCTAGAGAAATAATAGTATTGAAGACTTGATTGTAAATTATGATCAAGATTGAGCTGACATTACAAGGTGATATGGCGTTGAGCAGACTGTCAGAGGAAAAATATATCCCTAAAGCAATATCGACAGGTTCCTTATAGTAAGTACTGTATACGTAAGAAAGGCTTTTACC